TCTCCCTCCCTTCTTTCCCCCTGTCCTTTTCCTTTCTCCTTTTTCTTTCCTGCCCATCCCTTTGTTCTCTTGCCTCCTCTTCCTTCCTTCCTTCCTTCCTTCCTCTCCTCTTCCTTCCTTCCTTTCTTTCTTCCCTTCCTTTTTTCCTGTCCTTTTCCTTTCTCCTTTTTCTTTCCTGCCCATCCCTTTGTTCTCTCTTTCTTGCCTCCTTTTCCTTTTCCTTCTTCCTTCCTTCCTTCCTTCCTTCTTTCCTTCCTTCCTCCTTCCTCCCTTCTTTTTTCCCTTCCCTTTCCTTCCTTCCCATCTTTTTTCCTCTCTCTCTCCCTTCTTTTCCCCTGTCCTTTTCCCTTTCTCCTTTTTCTTTCCCGCCCATCCCCTTTTCCTTCCTTCCTTCCTTCCTTCCTTCCTTCCTTCCTTCCTTCCTTCCTTCCTTCCTTCCCTCCCTTTGCCCTCCCGTTCTCTTGCATCCTATTCCTTCCTTACCTACCTACCTACCTACTTACCTGTCTTCCCTCCCTTCCTTCTTTTCCTCTGTCCTTTTCCTTCCTCTTTTTTCTTTCCTGCACACCCCTTTGCCCTTCCGTTCTCTTGCCTCCTTTTTCTTCCTTCCTTTCTTTCTTCCCTCCCTTCTTTCATCCCTTCTTTTTCCCTTCCTCTTCCTTCCTTCCCATCCTTTTTTCCTCCCTTCCCCCCTCCCTTCTTTCCTTCCTCCTTCACTTAGCTTCCCTTTGACAGTGTCCTGCCTCCCTCCCTCCTTTCCTGGCTATTATTCCTTGATATCCTTTCCCCTCTCTTTCCTCCCTCCCTCCCTTCTTTCCTTCCTTTCTTCCTCCTTTCCCCCCAGGTGGGTCCTTCCCTCACCAACCGCTCTCTTTGCAGGCGAATCCGTCTCCGTCATTAAGCACACGGACCCCGTTCCAGATCCCCGGGCCGTCAACCAGGATAAAAAGAACATGCTTTTTTCCGTAAGTATCTTCAGGATAATTCCCGATGTCCCTCCTCTGGACACTTTACATCCTATTGGGAAAGCCTGGCTCTTTGGCCCCATCTGCGCTGTATATAATGGGGTTATTGTGGACTCATGCTGTTCACTGCAGATCCAGGGTCATCCAGTCCAACCTGCTTCTGCCAGGCAAAAAGACACAATCCAAGCCCTCCCGACAGATGGCCATTCAGCTTTTCTTTACAAACCTCCACTATTCTCCAAAGCAGTGGCATGTTTAATTGCTGAACCGCTCTGACCGTTGGGAAGTTCTTCCTAATGTTTCAGTAGAATCCCTTCTCCTAAAATTGCAACCTGTTGGGTCTTGGTTTCCCGAGCCACAGAAAATAAGATTTCCACATTCCTAACAAGGAGTTGTTTTTAAGTCGAATATTTGTAACTCGGAGGCTGTCTGTATTTATATATAAAATAATAATAATAGTATAATACCACTACTACTACTACTACTAATAGTAAAATAATACTAATGTTATAATACCACCACCACCACCACCACTACTACTAATAAAATAATATTATACTATTACTACTAATAAAATTATAATAATATAATACATCTACTACTACTATTACTACTACTAATAATAATATAGTACAACTACTACTATTACTACTACTAATAGTAATAAAATAATAATATTATAATACCACTACTACTAATAATAGTGAAATAATACTAATTTATAATGCCACCACCACCACTACTACTACTACTACTAATAATAATAAAATATTATAATACTACTAATAATAATAAAATAATAATAATAATATAACACATCTACTACTACTACTACTACTACTAATATAATACAACAACTACTACTATATATTAATATTCTAATACCACTACTACTACTAATAATAATAAAAAAATATAATAGTACTACTAATAAAATAATATAATACATCTACTACTATTACTACTACTACTACTAATAATAATAATATAATACAACTACTACTATTACTACTACTAATAGTAATAAATAATTATAATACCACTACTACTACTACTACTACTACTACTAATAAAATAGTAATAATATTCTAATACCACTACTATTACTACTACTAATAATAGTAATAATATTATAATACCACTACTTCTACTACTACTACTAATAATAAAATAGTAATAATATTCTAATACCACTACTAATAATAGGAGCCCCCGGTGATGCAGTGGGTTAAAGCGCTGAGCTGCTGAACTTGCTGACCGAAAGGACGGCGGTTCAAATCTGGGGAGTGGGGTGAGCTCCCGCTGTTAGCCCCAGCTTATGCCAACCTAGTAGTTTGAAAACATGCAAATATGAGGAGATCAATAGGTACCGCTTAGGCAGGAAGGTAACGGCACTCCATGCAGTCATGCTGGCGACATGACGTTGGAGGTGTCTATGGACAACGCTGGTTCTTTGGTTTAGAAATGGAGATGAGCACCAGAGTCCCAGAGTCGGACACGACTAGACCTAATGTCAGCGGAAACCTTTACCTTTACCTACTACTAATAATAGTACCTAATATGCGATTCCTCTCCCTTCCTGTGGCCTTAGCCCCGTTGTTCTGAACTGGGAGTCGCTTGCAAGTGCGATGCCAGTGGGGTGGCCTGTGTCCTGAGGACACGCTCTCAAGCTTGCCCACACGGGACCTCCGGCCTACCCCTCACACCCCATTGTTGCTTCTCCACAGGGCACCAACATCGCGGCCGGCAAGGCGGTGGGTGTGGTGATCGCCACAGGGGTCTTCACCGAGATCGGGAAGATCCGGAACCAGATGGCGGCCACGGAGCCGGAGAAGACGCCGCTGCAGCAGAAGCTGGACGAGTTCAGCCAGCAGCTCTCCAAGGTCATCTCGCTGGTCTGCGTGGCCGTCTGGGTCATCAACATCGGGCACTTTGCCGACCCTGTCCACGGGGGCTCCTGGCTGCGTGGCGCCATCTACTACTTCAAGATTGCGGTGGCCCTGGCTGTGGCCGCCATCCCCGAGGGGCTCCCGGCCGTCATCACCACCTGCCTGGCGCTGGGCACACGCCGCATGGCCAAGAAGAACGCCATCGTGCGCAGCCTCCCCTCCGTGGAGACCCTCGGCTGCACCTCCGTCATCTGCTCCGACAAGACCGGCACCCTCACCACCAACCAGATGTCCGTCTGCAGGGTGAGTCCCGCGACCACGTGGCCAGCCGTTTCGTGCTCTTTGACGGGCCCCCCATGCCAGGGTCTCGCAATGCAGAGGCCGGATCACAAACGTTTGCAGAAAGCATCATAGAGTCAGAAGGGACTTCTAGAGGCCATCCAGTCCAACCCCCCTTCTGTCTTCATGCAGGAAAAGCACAATCGAAACCCTTCCATCAGATGGCCATCCAACCTCAATAATAGTGATACTGATATCATTGGAAGAGACTCCTGGGCCCATCCCTTCCAACCCCCTTCTGTCTTCATGCAGGAAAAGCACAATCAAAGCCCTTCCAACAGATGGCCATCCAACCTCAATAATAATAATAATAATAATAATAATAATAATAATAATAATAATAGTGATAGTGATAATGATATTATTGGAAGACACTCCTGGGCCCATCCCCTCCAACCCCCATTTGTCTTCATGCAGGAAAGCACAATCAAATCACTCCCAACAGATGGCCATCCAACCTCAATAATAATAATAATAATAATAATAATAATAATAATAATAATAATAGTGAGAGTGATAATGATATCATTGGAAGAGACTCCTGGGCCCGTCCCCTCCAACCCCCTTCTGTCTTCATGCAGGAAAAGCACAATCAAAGCCCTTCCAACAGATGGCCATCCAACCTCAATAATAATAATAATAATAATAGTGATAGTGATAATGATATTATTGGAAGACACTCCTGGGCCCATCCCCTCCAACCCCCATTTGTCTTCATGCAGGAAAGCACAATCAAATCACTCCCAACAGATGGCCATCCAACCTCAATAATAATAATAATAATAATAATAATAATAATAATAATAATAATAGTGAGTGATAATGATATCATTGGAAGAGACTCCTGGGCCCGTCCCCTCCAACCCCCTTCTGTCTTCATGCAGGAAAAGCACAATCAAAGCCCTTCCAACAGATGGCCATCCAACCTCAATAATAATAATAATAATAATAATAACAGTAATACTAATAATGATATCATTGGAAGAGACTCCTGGGCCCAGCTCCTCCAACCCCCTTCTGTCTTCATGCAGGAAAAACCACAATCAAAACACCCCCGACAGATGGCCATCCAACCTCAATAATAATAATAACAATAATAACAATAATAAGAGTGATAATGATATCATTGGAAGAGACTCCTGGGCCCAACCCCTCCAACAGCCTTCTGCCTTCATGCAGGAAAAGCACAATCAAAGCCCTTCTAACAGATGGCCATCCAATCTCAATAATAATAATAGTGATACCAATAATGATATCATTGGAAGAGACTTTTTGGGCCCATCTCCTCCAACCCCCTTCTGCCTTCATGCAGGAAAAGCACAATCAAACCCCTTCCAACAGATGGCCATGCAACCACAATAATTTTTTTGCGAGTGTCAAGAGCGACTTGAGTTGCTTCTGGTGTGAGAGAATTGGGAGTCTGCAAGGACGTTGCCCAGGGGACATTGCCTAGATGTGTGACCATCCTGTGGGAGGCTTCTCTCATGTCCACACATGGGAAGCTGGAGCTCACAGACAGGAGCTCACCCCGCTCCTCGGATTCGAACCGCCTACCTTTGGTCAGCGGTGTTGGGGCACAGGACCCGCAATAATAATAATAATGATAATAATAATAATAATCCCCCCTGACAGATGGTCATCCAACCTCTATAATATTAATAATGATGAATGATGATAATAATATATTGTTGAAGGCTTTCAAGGCCGGAATTACTGGAGTGTTGTGTGGTTTCCAGTCCGCGTGGCCAATGCGTTCTAGTAGCATTTGCTCCTTTGTTCGTTTCGCCTGCACCTGTGCCTGGCATCTTCAGAGGATCTGAAGGTAGTAAAGCCAGCGGAGTATATAATATGCCTGTGGAATCGTGTCCTGGGTGGGAGGAAAGAACCAATGTCGATTGACCAAGAGTCAAGGGTGCCATGAGCAAGCCTGATCTGCAAGTGTTTGAGTGGGATCCATCCACCCATTCGCATGTGAGTAAGCGAGAAGGTGGCATTGCCAGTCGTCATAGTCACACGCTAATGGATGGATCCCACTCAAAACACGTGCACATCCTCGGAAAGTTGCGTTATTGCCTTTTCCCTCTGTGACAAGAGTGGGAATGTAAGAAGGAAAGGAGGGAGAGAGACCTTTGCACATGAAACACGCCGGATCATGCGCCGTGGCTTTCCATGGGGAGATTACCCTCAGTCCCCGGCTTGAACTAAGCCTCCGTCCACAAAGCTGATCTGAACATAGCAAATACTTTCTCCTTGGCTGTGCAACGCCATTCGAAACGGGGTGCCGGTTGTTAAGGCTCCGCCGCCAGGAGTTCCCTGGCTAAATAAATAACAGCCAATGTTTAAACAGCGGGAAGAAGGTTTTGCCGGTTTGTTCCGCAAGTTAAATATTTGCCCGGCTGCTTCTGCTGCGAAACGCAGGGAGGATGTTTGTTTCCAAACAGGCAAATGCACAACGAAAGGCCCGGGAAGATCCTGGATGGCTCTCGACCAAAGAAGGAGGGGCCTCTGTGTGTGTGTGTTTGTTGTGACTTCTGTTCCTTTCTTGGGTGGCCATCTGTCAGGAGGGGTTGGAAGGGGTTGGACTGCATGGACTGCATCATCATCACAATTGTTATGAGATTGGGTGGCCATCTCTTGGGAGATATTGGATGGTGTCTCCCTTTAAAGCAGAAGGGGTTGGACTGCATGGCCTTTGGGGTCCCTTCCGACTCCAGGAAACGATTATATTGTCATAATCATCATAATCATCATTGTTATGAGGTTGGGTGGCCATCTGTCGGGAGGTATTGGATGGTGTCTCCCTTTAAGGCAGAATGGGTTGGACTGCATGGCCTTTGGAGTCCCTTCCGACTCCAGGATATGATTATATTATCATTATCATCATCATCATCATCACAATTGTTATGAGGATGGGTGGCCATCTGTCGGGAGGGATCATATGGTGTCTCCCTTTAGGGCAGAAGGGGTTGGACTGCATGGCCTTTGGGGTCCCTTCCGATTCTAGGATGTTATGATTATATCATCATCATCATCATCATCATTATCATCATTGCTTTGAGGGTTGGGTGGCCATCTGTCGGGAGGGATTGGATGGTGTCTCTTCTGCATTGTTAGCATCATCATAATAATCATCATCATGGTTGTTATGAGGTTGGGTGGCCGTCTATCGGGAGGGATTAGATGGTGTCTCCCTTGAGGGCTGAAGGGGTTGGACTTCATGGCGTTTGGAGTCCCTTCCGATTCTAGGATGTTATGATTATATCATCATCATCATTATCATCATCATCATCGTCATTGCTTTGAGGGTTGGGTGGCCATCTGTCGGGAGGGATCGGATGGTTTCTCTTCTGCATTATTAGCATTATCATAATAATAATCATCATGGTTGTTATGAGGTTGAGTGGCCATCTGTCGGGAGGGATCGGATGGTGCCTCCCTTGAGGGCCGAAGGGGTTGGACTTCATGGCATTTGGGGTCCCTTCTGATTCTAGGATGTTATGATTATATTATCATCATCATTATCATCATCATTATGAGGTTGGGTGGCTGTCTGTCGGGAGGGATCGAATGTTGTCTCCCTTGAGGGCCGAAGGGGTTGGACTTCATGGCTTTTGGGGTCCCTTCCGATTCTAGGATGTTATGATTATATTATCATCATCATCATGATTGTTATGAGGTTGGGTGGCCATCTGTTGGGAGGGATCGGAGGGTGTCTCCCTTTAAGGCAGAAGGGGTTGGACTGCATGGCCTTTGGAGTCCCTTCCAACTCCAGGATATCATTATATTATCATAATCATCATCATCATGATTGTTATGAGGTTGGGTGGCCATCTGTCAGAAGGGATCGGATGGTGTCTCCCTTGAGGGCAGAATGGGTTGGACTTCATAGCGTTTGGGGTCCCTTCTGATTCTAGGATGTTATGATTATATCATCATTGCTTTGAGGGTTGGGTTGGCCATCTGTCGGGAGGGATCGGATGGTGTCTCTTCTGCATACCTCCGCGGTTTGTCTTTTCAAAAAGCCTTCCTTTGCCGAATGGATCAAGCCTGCTGTTGGCTGGCTTCCCTGCCTGCCGGTGCTGCAGCGCCTTCTTCTCGTTCCCAATGGTCCTTCACCATGCCGCAGAGAAGTAGAGGTGCCAAGAGCTGGAAGGAGACCCCCAAGGTCATCCAGTCCAACCCCTTTCTTCCTGCCAAGCAGGAAGATACAACCTGATCCACACCTGGCCTCCATCTTCCTGTCCAGGAGTCTCATTTTAATACAGTCCATATCAAACCCAGAATTATTTGAACTTCTTGTATCCATTTATGTGTAAACATTGTAAACATCACCTTGAGCCATGAGGAGAGAGAGAGGCCTTTAAGAAATACTATTATTATTATTATTATTATTATTATTATTATTACTATTATTATTATTATTATTATTTTACAGATGTTCGTTGTTGAGAAAATTGAGGGGATCCATTGCACTTTGCACGAGTTCAGCATCACGGGCTCGACCTACACGCCGGAGGGGCAAATGTGAGCGTTCAGCAAACACCATGTTGAGCAAAAAGGGGGGAAGAAGGTGGACTTCTGGGGCAATCCCGACCCATTTGGGAACCACATTTATTGTTTTATACTGGAATATTTGTATTTAAGTGGAGTTGTGTTTCGTTTGCCTGTTTTGACTAAGGTGGGCAACTCTTACAGTAGTCGTTATTATGACTATTATTATGAGTCCTAGCGTATCTACCCAAATTCTCTCTTCTTTCTTCCTTTTTCTTCCCTTTTCTCTTCCTTTCCTCTTCTTTCTCTTTCTTTTCCTTCCCTTCTCTTCTTTCTCATTCTCCTTCATTTCTTCCTTCCTTTCTTTTCCCTTCTTTCTCTTTCTCTCCTCCTCTCCGGTCATACCTTTTCTCTCCTTTCTCCCTTCCTTCCTTCTTCTTTTTCTTTTCTCTTTCCTTCCTCCTTTTCTCCTTTTTTTTCCTTTTCTTCTCCTTCCTTCCTTCCTTCCTTCCTTCTCCTTCTACTTTCTTTCTCTTTCTCTCCTCCCCTTCTCTCATACCTTTTATTTCTCTTTTCTTCCTTCCTTCCTTCTTTCCTTCCTTCCTTCCTTCTGCTTACTTTCTTTCTCTTTCTCTCCTCCCCTTCTCTCATACCTTTTATCTCTCTTTTCTTCCTTCCTTCCTTCCTTCCTTCATTCATTCATTCATTCATTCCTTCCTTCCTTCTGCTTACTTCTTTCTCTTCTCTCCTCCCTTCTCTCTCTTTTTATTTCTCTTTTCTTCCTTCCTTCCTTCCTTTCCTTCTCTCTTCTTCTTTCTCTTTCTTCCTCCCCTTCCTTCCTTTTCCTTCCTTCCTTCCTTCCTTCATTCCTTCCCTTCCTTCTGCTTACTTTCTTTCTCTTTCTCTCCTCCCCTTCTCTCATACCTTTTATCTCTCTTTCCTTCCTTCCTTCCTTCCTTCCTTCCTTCCTTCCTTCCTTCCTTCCTTCCCTTCCTTCTGCTTACTTTCTTTCTCTTTCTCTCCTCCCCTTCTCTCATACCTTTTATTTCTCTTTTCTTCCTTCCTTCCTTCTTTCCTTCCTTCCTTCTGCTTACTTTCTTTCTCTTTCTCTCCTCCCCTTCTCTCATACCTTTTATCTCTCTTTTCTTCCTTCCTTCCTTCCTTCCTTCTCTTCCTTCCTTCCTTCCTTCCTTCCTTCCTCTTTCCTTCTTTTTCCTTCCTTTTCTTCCTCTCCTTTTTCCTTTTTTCTCCCTTCTTCTCTTCCTTCCTTCCTCCTTCCTTCCTTCCTTCCTTCCTTCCTTCCTTTTTCTTACCTTCCTTTCTTCCTTCCTTTTTCTTTCTCCTTCCCTCCCTCCTTCCTTTTTCTTACCTTCCTTCCTTCCGTCCTTCCTTCCTTTTTTCTTACCTTCCTTCCTTACTTTTTCTTTCCTTTCCTTTCCTTCCCTTCTCTTACCTTTTCTTTTCTCTTCCTTCCTTTCTCTTCCCTTCCCTTCCTTTTTTCTCTTCTCTCCTTCCTTTCTTCTCCTTCCTTCCTTTCTCTTTCTTTTTCTTTCTCCCCTCCCCTCCTCTCATACTTTTTCTCTCTCTTTTCTTCCTTTCCTTCCCTTCCTTTTTTCTCCATATTTCTCTTTCTTCCCTTCCTCTTTTTGTCTTTCCTTCCTTCCTCCTTTTTCCTTCCTTCCTCCCCATTTCTTCCTTCCTTCCTTCTTCTTTTCCCCTCTCTTTCTTCCTCTTTTTCTCCTTTTCCTCCTTCCTTCCTTCCTTCCTTCCTTCTCATCTTCCTTATCTTCTTTCTTTCTTCACTCCCGTTTTCCTTTGTACCTTTCCTTTCCCTCTTTATCTTCCTCTTATCTTCTTTTTCTTTCTTCACTCCTTTCTGCATTCCTTTTTTTCCTTTTCTTTCCCTTCCTTCTTCTTCATATTTCTCTTTCTTCCCTCACTTTCTTCTCTCTCTTTTCTTTTCCTCCCTTCCTTCCTCTTCTCTTCCTTTCTTCACTCCTTTCAGTATTCCTTTTTCCTTTTCCTTCATTCTTCATTCTTTTTCTTTCTTCACTCTTTTCTGCACTCCTTTTCCCTTCCTTCCTTCCTTCCTTCCTCTTCCGTTCTCTTCTTTTTCTTTCTTCACTCCACTTTTTGCCCCTCGACCCTTTCCTTTCCCTCTTTCTCTTCCTTCCTTCTTCTTGTCTTCTTTTTTCTTCTTCACTCCTTTCTACATTCCTTTTCCCTTTTCTTTCCCTCCCTCCCTCCCTCCCTTCCTTCCTTCCTTCGTTCCTTTCCTTCCTCTTCCATTCTCTTCTTCACTCCTCTTTTTGTCCCTCGTCCCTTCCCCCCTTCTCTTTCTTCCCTTCCCTTCCTTCATTGGGCCTTTCCTTGGAAGTCACTCTCTCTCAGCCTCAGGGTGAGGCCGGCACACACAATCGTACCCACCCCACACACACACACTTCCACAACCTCCCTCTCCATCCAAGGCCCCCTCCCTCCTTGCCTCCCTCTTGGGGGGCCCTGACTGCTGCCTTCAGGGCTGTAGCTCATCCTTCCTATATGATCTTCTGCTGCCCTCTTGTGGTTTCATCTCAGCTCTGCATACATACATACATACATACATACATACATACATACATACATACATACATACATACATACTAGAGGTCAGTAGCCAATCCTTTCTGTATACCTTGCTTACTCGAATCCAATATGACCTTGCCAAAATGAGGGTGCGCATTAGATCCACATCATACATTATTGTTGTTGTTGTTAACTTTACGTCTACCCAATCTGTCTCCCTCCAGGACTCACGGCAACTCACAATCACACACTTTAGTCAAGCTTGAAAAACACAGTATATTTTTTAAACCAATTAAATAGTAACAGTGGGGTGGAAAGAGAACAAAACACAATTAATGCACTAAAAGGGGCCTTAAACCCTCCCCTTCCCCTTCCTTTACTGTCTCCTTCCTTCCTTCCTTCCTTCCTTCCTTTTGCCTACTTTCTTTCTCTTTCTCTCCTCCCCTCCTCTCATACCTTTTCTCTCTTTTTTCTTCTGTCCTTTCCTTCTTTTTTTCTCCATATTTCTCTTTCGTCCCTCCCTTTCTTTGTCACTCCTCCCTCCCTTCCCTTCCCTTCCCTTCCTTTCTTTCCCCTTCCTTCTCTTTCTCCCCCCCTCCTCTCATATCTTTTCTCTCTCTTTTCTTCCGTGCTTTCCTTCCTGTTTTCTCCATATTTCTCTTTCTTCTCTCCCTTTCTTTGTCACTTCTTCCTTCCTTCCCTTCCCCCTCCCTTCCCTTCCTTTCTCTCCCCTTCCTTCTCTTTCTCTCTTCCCCTCCTCTCATACTTTTTCTCTCTCTTTTCTTCCAACCTTCCCTTCCTTTTTTCTCCATATTTCTCTTTCTTCCCTCCCTTTTTGTCTCTCCTTCCTTCCTTCTCTTTCTCTCTTCCCTCCTCTCATACATTTCTCTCTCTTTTTCTCCTCCTTTCCTTCCTTTTTCTCTTTTCTCTTCTTCCTTCCTTTCTTTTCCTCTTCCTTCCTTCCTTTTCCTTCCTTCCTTCTCTTCCTTCCTTCCTCCCCCCTCCCTCCCTCCCTCCCTCCCTCCCTCCTTCCTTCCTTCCTCCCTCCCCCTCCCTCCTTCCTTCCTCCCCTTCCTTCTTTTCCTCTTCCCTCCTTCCCTTTCTCTCTCTTTTCTTCCATTCCTTCCCTTCCTTTTTTCTCCATATTTCTTTCTTCCTTCCTTTCTTCTTTCTCCTCCCTCCCTCCCTCCCTTCCTCTTTTCCCTTCCCTTCTTTTCTCTTCCCTCCTCCTCTCATACCTTTTCTCTCTCTATTCTTCCTTCTTTCCCTTCCTTCCTTTCCCATTCTTCCTCTTTCTTTTTCCTGGGGGTGTGCTATGGACAGGGTGGCCCGTCGGGCCTCCTCCATCTGAGATTCTTTGAGATTCTCTTCTGCCTTTTGCAATATCAGAAACTTGAGGCCAAGATCTGCCCCATATTTCCCCCACTGGGAGGACTTGCTTATCTTCTCACCCATCTTTAGGCTGAGCCGAAGCCAAAAGGGATGATGCTTCCGGGGTTCCTCTTGGAGAGACCCAATGTGGTGGGATCCTGGGATTTGTAGTTTGGTGAGGCCTCTGTGTCCTTTGACAGAGAAGCTCAAGGCCTTGCCAAACAACAGCCCCCAGGACTCTATGGCAGTTAAAGTGCATTCATTCTGCAGCAGGGATTTATTTCCTGGAAGTTTTGTTGTTCAAACACAATCTATATATATAAAAAGGTTGTTGTCGTCGTGAGTGGCTTAAAAACAAAAGAACCACTGGGCCAATACCCACCAAATTTGGCAACAAAACTCCTCACCATACAAGGTGTGACCAACAATAATAAAAAATAGGAAAACACCCAAAACAACTTACAAATCCTTAATAAAAGGAGAAGCCATCACAGCGCATGCGTGCAGCTGTGGGGGATGCGCACGCGCTTGAGACTCGAGTCAAGTCATTTGGGATCCAGAAAAGGAATGGGATACGGAAAAGTGATCTCGCCTGTGACCTGCGAGCTTTTGCGCTCCCCATTCAGATTACAGCAGGTTCTTCTCCTCTCTCGTTTCCCTGCAGCCTGAAGGACGGCTGCCCGGTCCAGTGTGGCCAGTTTGACGGCTTGGTGGAGCTGGCCACCATCTGTGCCCTTTGCAATGACTCCTCTCTCGACTACAACGAGGTGAGTGGCGGGAAGTCGGACTTGACTCTTGCCCCTGAAACACAGACAGCATTCTCCTTGCGCAGAGAAAAAGTGGGGCTATAAATAAACATAAACATAACAACAACAACACTTTATTTATATCCTGCTCTGTCTCCCCGAGGAGGGGACTCAGAGCGGAATACAACGTACACAGAAAGGCAAGCATTCAGTGCCTTTAATACAGTGGAATAACAATGATGTACAGATACACAGAACAAAGGCAAAGGCTTCCCCTTTCACCTCCAGCTATCTGGAGGCGATACTCAAAGGTAAGGCTTCCCCTTTCACCTCCGGTTTCTGGTACTCAAAGGTAAAGGCTTCCCCTTTCACCTCTGACTTTCTGGAGGCAATACTCAAAGGTAAAGACTTCCCCTTTTACCTCTGGCTTTCTGGAGGCGGTACTCAAAGGTAAAGGCTTCCCCTTTCACCTCCGGTTTCTGGTACTCAAAGGTAAAGACTTCCCCTTTTACCTCTGGCTTTCTGGAGGCGGTACTCAAAGGTAAAGGCTTCCCTTTTCACCTCCGGTTTCTGGTACTCAAAGGTAAAGGCTTCCCCTTTCACCTCTGACTTTCTGGAGGCAATACTCAAAGGTAAAGACTTCCCCTTTTACCTCTGGCTTTCTGGAGGCGGTACTCAAAGGTAAAGGCTTCCCCTTTCACCTCCGGTTTCTGGTACTCAAAGGTAAAGACTTCCCCTTTTACCTCTGGCTTTCTGGAGGCGGTACTCAAAGGTAAAGGCTTCCCCTTTCACCTCCGGTTTCTGGTACTCAAAGGTAAAGACTTCCCCTTTCACTTCTGGCTTTCTGGAGGCGGTACTCAAAGGTAAAGGCTTCCCCTTTCACTTCTGGCTTCTGGAGGCAGTACTCAAAGGTAAAGGCTTCCCCTTTCACCTCTGGCTTCTGGAGGCAGTACTCAAAGGTAAAGGCTTCCCCTTTCACCTCTGGCTTCTGGAGGCAGTACTCAAAGGTAAAGGCTTCCCCTTTCACTTCTGGCTTCTGGAGGCAGTACTCAAAGGTAAAGGCTTCCCCTTTCACCTCTGGCTTCTGGAGGCGGTACTCAAAGGTAAAGGCTTCCCCTTTCACTTCTGGCTTCTGGAGGCAGTACTCAAAGGTAAAGGCTTCCCCTTTCACCTCTGGCTTTCTGGAGGCGGTACTCAAAGGTAAAGGCTTCTCCTTTCACCTCCAGTTTCTGGTACTCAAAGGTAAAGGCTTTGCCTTTCACCTTCAGTTTCTGGTACTCAAAGGTAAAGGCTTCCCCTTTCACCTCTGGCTTTCTGGTACTCAAAGGTAAAGGCTTCTCCTTTCACCTCTGGCTTTCTGGAGGCAGTACTCAATGGTAAAGGCTTCCTCTTTCACCTCCGGCTTTCTGGAGGCAGTACTCAAAGGTAAAGGCTTCCCCTTTCATCTCCAGTTTCTGGTACTCAATGGTAAAGGCTTCCCCTTTCACCTCCTGCTTTCTGGAGGCAGTACTCAAAGGTAAAGGCTTCCCCTTTCACCTCCGGCTTTCTGGAGGCGGTACTCAAAGGTAAAGGCTTCCCCTTTCACCTCCAGTTTCTGGTACTCAAAGATAATGGCTTCCCCTTTCACCTCCAGTTTCTTGTACTCAAATGTAAAGGCTTCCCCTTTCACCTCCTGCTTTCTGGTGGCGGTATTCAAAGGTAAAGGCTTCCCCTTTCACCTCCAGTTTCTGGTACTCAAAGATAATGGCTTCCCCTTTCACCTCCGGTTTCTACAGTACTCAAAGGTAAAGGCTTCCCCTTTCACCTCCGGCTTTCTGGAGGCGGTACTCAAAGGTAAAGCTTCCCCTTCCACCTCTGGCTACTGGAGGCGGTACTCAAAGGTAAAGGCTTCCCCTTTCACCTCCGGCTTTCTGGAGGCTGTACCAGGGGAGCTGTTGCTTCACCGTCCGCTTGTGACACTGATGGAGTACTTCCTCATTCTTTTGCACACTCCTGGAGAGTTTTATGGTATCGTAAATTAGTTAAATAAGCCTCTCTGCATAAGCGGTTCACTTTCCTCTGCCTTTCCTCATTTCAGTCCAAGAAGGTCTATGAAAAAGTGGGGGAAGCGACCGAGACAGCCTTGACATGCCTGGTGGAGAAGATGAATGTCTTCGACACCGACATCAGCGGCCTATCCCCGGCTGAGAGGGCTAACGCTTGCAACACCGTGAGTAGGAGCATCCGGTGCTAACGTTGGGGGGAGACCGGACGGAGACACAATCTGATCCCTCCCGACAGATGGCCATCCAGACCCCGCCTGGACTTCCTTATGACTTTGCTGACCCTGTCCCTCCACCGTCTCCTCCTTCTCTTCTCCTCCTCTGCAGGTGATCAAGCGGCTGATGAGGAAGGAGTGCACCCTGGAGTTTTCGCGCGACCGCAAATCCATGTCCGTCTTCTGCACGCCGGTGGCTGCCAGCGCCGGGCACAACTCCTCTGGCAGCAAGCTTTTCGTCAAGGTAAAGCCTGCCCATTTTGTTTTGTTTTTTAAATAGTGTTTATTAATTTTTAAACATACATAGGCTAAAATGACAAAGAAAAAATGGTTACACAAAGACATGTGCATCTAACCCCAAACCCACCACCATTACAACACCAAAAGATAAACACACTAAAAGCTAGGGAAGGTTGTAAGGGTAAAGACATTGGGGTTTGGAATTTGGGGTGGGGGGGGAGGGAAAGAGGAAGGGAATACTACACTAAGGGTAGTATTTATATGTACATATAATACCTTTGCTGCTATTGTCATGTAGTGCAGTGCTTTGTATGCACGTATAATAGTCTTACTGCTATTGTCATGTAGCACAATGCTTTATATGTGTATATAATATCCTTGCTGCTATTGTCATGTTGTGCAATGCTTTATATGTGCATATAGTATTCTTGCTGCTATTGTCATGTAGTGCAATACTTTATTTGTGCATATAGTATTTTTACTGCTATTGTCATCATGTAGCGCAATGCTTTATACGTGCATATAATGTTCTTGCTGCTATTGTCATGTAGCGCAATGCTTTACATGCTCATATAATCTTGCTGCTATTGTCATGTAGTGCAATGCTTTATATGCACATATAATATTCTTGCTGCTATTGTCATGTAGCACAATGTTTTATATGTGCATATAATATTCTTGCTGCTATTGTCATGTAGTGCAATACTTTATTTGTGCATATAGTATTCTTACTGTTATTGTCATCATGTAGCGCAATGCTTTATACGTGCATATAATGTCTTTGCTGCTATTGTCATGTAGTGCAATGCTTTACATGTGCATATAATATTCTTGCTGCTATTGTTATGTAGTGCAATACTTTATTTGTGCATATAGTATTCTTACTACTATTGTCATCATGTAGTGCAATGCTTTATACGTGCATATAATGTCCTTGCTGCTATTGTCATGTAGTGCAATGCTTAACATGCGCATATAATATCCTTGCTGCGATTGCCATATACTGCAATACTTTATATGTGCATATAGTATTCTTACTGCTATTGTCACGTAGCACAACGCTTTATATGTGCATATAATATCCTTGCTGCTGTTGTCATGTAGTGTTATGCTTTATATGTGCATATAATAGCCTTGCTGCTATTGTCATGTTGTGCAATGTTTTATATGTGTACTGGTCATCATGTCTTCTTATGTTGTCCCACAAAGTCGTAGTAGTAGTAGTAATTTTTATTTCTTGCCCGGCTTCAACGTTGCAACATTGCAAATACACACATTCATCTAAAACACATATTAAAACATATTTCCACAAATACCCAAAGCAAAGATTAAAACGTAAGACGCAATCTTCAAACATTGGGTGAGAATGTAAACATGAACATTAATGAGCATAAGATGCAACTTCAGAATTCATCATTAAGGCTGTCTGGGAGTTCTTGTCTTTCCTGATTTTTACATCAAGAGTTGATCTTAATTATTCTTGTCGGTTCCTCTCCCCCCCCCCCCCCTTTGAAAGGGCGCTCCAGAAAGTGTCATCGAGCGCTGCAACTACGTCCGGGTAGGCACTACCCGGGCCCCTCTGACCCTCTCCGCCAAGGAGACGATACTTTCCAAGATCCGGGAATGGGGCTCCGGGACCGACACTCTGCGTTGCCTGGCCTTGGCCACACGAGACCACCCACCCCGCAAGGAGGACATGCGCCTGGATGATGCCGGACATTTCGCCAGCTACGAGGTGGGTCTGTGGACGGGAAGCGCGAGGAACAAACTCCATCTCTTGACACAGGGGGGCCAAGGCGCCTATCTCGTTGCCAAGTTCCTCAATACAGGCCGTCTCCAACGAGGTATCTACTAGCTTCACTAATAGCAGACACACATTAATGCACAGGGGATGGAAAATGAACCAGAGGAACTTAAACTCTTAACACAGGAAGGCGAAGGCAAAGTGTTGGGACCAAGAATTGTAAAGTGAATTTCCCAAAGAGAAAGGAGCAAGAAGGAGCAAAGAAGGAGAAAGCACAAAGGAATTTGAAAGAGATAAGCATTGCTAGGACAAGACATCCGGCCGAGAGGTAGAGAGATCGTACAATCCTGTGGTGGATCAATTCCTCACTCCCTTTCTTTGGCTTGCAGACCAACCTGACCTTTGTGGGGTGCGTGGGGATGCTGGACCCGCCCCGGAAGGAAGTGATGTCAGCAATCGAGATGTGCAGACAAGCTGGCATCCGTGTCATCATGATCACCGGGGATAACAAGGGAACAGCAGTAGCCATCTGCCGGAGGATTGGAATCTTCTCTGAGAAGGAGGACGTGTGTGACAAGGCCTACACGGGGCGGGAGTTCGACGACCTCTCGCCAGAGGGCCAGAGCCAGGCCTGCCGCGTGGCGCGCTGCTTCGCTCGGGTGGAGCCGGCCCACAAGTCCAAGATTGTGGAGTATCTCCAGTCCTTCAATGAAATCACGGCCATGGTGAGTGCCCTGGGATGCCAGATGGGGATCTCCTGAGGTTGAGTCTCCAGTGCCTCATTCTGAGGGAAAGTGGTGTGTGGTGGCTTCCCAGCTCCTGGGGTTTTTGGTTGAAATGGAATATCTAGATCAGAAGGGCTATCTGGGTGGGATGGACTATTTGGATGAGATGGGATGTCTGGATGAGATGTGATATCTGGATGAGATGGACTGTCCGGATGAGATGGACTATCTGGATGACATGAACCATCTTGATGACATGAACCATGTTGATGAGATGGAATATCTCAATGAAATGGGCTATCTGGACCAGATGGGATAGCCAGATGAGGTGGGATATCTGGATGAGATGGACTATCTGGATGAGATGGACTATCTGGATGAGTTGGACTATCTGGATGAGATGGGATATCTAGATGAGATGGACTGTCTTGATGAGATTTGATGTCTGGATGAGATGGGACATCTGGATGAGATTGAACATCTTGATGAGATGGAATATCCTGATGAAATGGGCTATCTGGACCAGATGGGATATCTGCATGAGATGAGATATCTGCATGAGATGGGATATATGGATCAGATCCTATATCTGATTGAGATGGACTATCTGGATGAGATGGGATATTTGGATCAGATTCTATATCTGGATCAGATGGACTTTCTGAATGAAGTGGACTATCCAATGAGATGGACTATCTGGATGACATGGGATGTCTGGATCAGATCCTATATCTGGTTGAGATGAACTATCTGGATGAGATGGGATATCCGGATCAGATTCTATATCTGGACCAGATGGACTATCTGAATGAAGTGGACTATCCAATGAGATGGGCTATCTGGATGAGATGGGATATCTGGATGAGATCCTATATCTGATTGAGATGGACTATCTGGATGAAATGGGATATCTGGATCAGATCCTATATCTGGTTGAGATGAACTATCTAGATGAGATGGGATATCTGGATCAGATTCTATATCTGGACCAGATGGACTATCTGAATGAGGTAGACTATCCAATTAGATGGACTATCTGGATGACATGGGCCATCTGGATGAGATGGGATATCTGGATCAGATCCTATATCTGGACCAGATGGACTATCTGAATGAGGTGGACTATCCAATGAGATGGACTATCTAGATGACATGGGCCATCTGGATGAGATGGGATATCTGGATCAGATCCTATATCTGGATCAGATGAACTATCTGAATGAGGTAGACTATCCAATGAGATGGACTATATTGATGAGATGGGATATCTGAATGAGATGGGATAACTGAATCCGATTCTATATCTGATTGAGATGGACTATCTGGATGAGATGGGATATCTGGATCAGATTCTATATCTGGATCAGATGAACTATCTGAATGAGGTGGACTATCCAATGAGATGGACTATCTGGATGAGATGGGCCATCTGGATGAGATGGGATATCTGGATTAGATCCTATATCTGGTTGAGATGAACTATATGGATGAGATGGGATATCTGGATGGGCTCCCTACAAATGCTCAGAATCTCATACTCATTGGGAGAGTCTATGATATGTTTTACGTCAACAAAGGTGATTGCTCAGCAGTTCCAAGGCTGTGTCCTGTAGAACCCTAGGGTTCTATGTGGAACCCCAGGGAACTAAATCCATCACTGTGGCCCTGTCTAGGAAGGATAAGATCAGCTTGTGTTTTCATCCTCCTCCCTTGTATCCTCACCTCCTGCAGACTGGTGACGGAGTGAACGATGCCCCGGCTTTGAAGAAAGCCGAAATTGGCATTGCCATGGGTTCTGGCACGGCCGTGGCCAAGTCGGCTGCTGAGATGGTCTTGTCCGACGACAACTTCTCCACCATCGTGGCTGCCGTGGAGGAGGGCCGGGCCATCTACAACAACATGAAGCAGTTCATCCGCTACCTCATCTCCTCCAACGTCGGGGAGGTCGTCTGGTAAGAGCCGCAAAGCCTGCTCGGTCCCTGACCCATTGTCCCTGACCTGGGGCTGGGATTTGTAGTTTGGCCCTCTTTGGTAAAAGCGGAGGCAAAGGACCTGGCTGAGCAACAACTCCCATTGCCTTGAGCCACGGCCTTAAGTTCTTTCTGAAAGTGTGGACCAGAAGCTGCTTTGAGTACCAAATAAACATGGTAAGAACAACAACAACACTGTGTAACAAAAATAAAAATGAACAAAAAATACATTCCTGGTTTGAAATTGTTATTTCCTGCTCTTGGCAGAATGGGGTTGAACTGGATGGCCCATGAGGTCTCTTCCAACTCTAGGATTCTATGAGTCACACTCTCTCAGCCTTAACAAGGAATCTCCTTCCTTGGAGGGTTTTCAACAGAGGCTGGATGGCCATCTGTCGGGAGGGATTGGGCAGCCCCTTCCTTCCTTTCTTTCTCTCTGCCTGTCAGAAGGGGGTTGGACTGGATGTCCTTTGGGGGTCCCTTCTAGCTCTATGAATGACAAGGAGCCCCACCCCCCACCTCTTCATCTTTGCAGCATTTTCCTGACGGCCATCCTGGGCCTCCCCGAAGCCCTGATCCCGGTCCAGCTTCTGTGGGTCAACCTGGTGACGGACGGACTCCCAGCCACAGCGCTGGGCTTCAACCCACCGGACCTCGACATCATGGACAAGCTGCCCCGGAACCCCCGGGAGCCCCTCATCAGCGGGTGGCTCTTCTTCCGCTACCTGGCCATTGGAGGTGAGCTGTTTGGGTTGGGTGATAGGTGGAAGGAAGAAGGGATGGATAGAGCCATTCAAATGTTAGGCAGAGGGAGGGAGGGATCTGTTTGGGTTGGGCGATAGGCAAAGGAAGGGATGGATGGGGCCATTTGGATGGGGCAATAGGCATAGGGAGCAAGGGAGGGATGGAGCCATTCGGGTTGGGCGTTAGGAGGAAGGAGGGAGGGATGGATGGATAGAGCCGTTTGGCACAGGGAGGGAGGGAAGGATGGAGGGATGGATCTGTTTGGGTTGGGCGATAGGCAAAGGAAGGGATGGATGGGGCCGTTCAGGTTGGGCAATTGGCAGAGGGAGGGAAGGATGGATGGAGCCATTTGGGTTGGGTGTTAGGAGGAAGGAGAGATGAACGGATAGAGCGTTTGGGTTGGGAAGTAGGCAGATGGAGGGACGAATGGATGGAGCTATTCGGGTTGAGCGTTACAAGGAAGAAGGGATGGATGGATAGAGCCGTTCAGCACAGGGAGTGAAGGTGGGATGAATCCATTCAGGTTGGGTGATAGGTGAAGGGATGGATGGATGGAGTGTGGTGGAGCTTCTTTGGAAGCTTTTAAACAGAGGCTGGATGGCCATCTGTCAGGGGTGATTTGAATGCAATATTCCTGCTTCTTGGCAGGGGGTTGGACTGGATGGCCCATGAGGTCTCTTCCAACTCTTTGATTCTATTATTCTATGAGAGATGGAGACATTTGGGTTGGGCGTTAGGAGGAACGAGCGATGGATGGATAGAGCGTTTGGCAGAGAGAGGGAGGGAGGGATTCGATTGGGTTGGGCGATAGGCGAAGAAAGGGATGGATGGAGCCATTTGGGTTGGGCGTTAGGAGGAAGGAGGGAGGGATGGATGGATAGAGCCGTTTGGCACAGGGAGGGAGGGAAGGATGGAGGGATGGATCTGTTTGGGTTGGGCGATAGGCAAAGGAAGGGATGGATGGGGCCGTTCAGGTTGGGCAATTGGCAGAGGGAGGGAAGGATGGATGGAGCCATTTGGGTTGGGTGTTAGGAGGAAGGAGAGATGAACGGATAGAGCGTTTGGGTTGGGAAGTAGGCAGATGGAGGGATGAATGGATGGAGCTATTCGGGTTGAGCGTTACAAGGAAGAAGGGATGGATGGATAGAGCCGTTCAGCACAGGGAGTGAAGGTGGGATGAATCCATTCAGGTTGGGTGATAGGTGAAGGGATGGATGGATGGATGGATGGATGGATGGATGGGGCCGTTCTGGTTGGGCAATAGGCAGAGGGAGAGGCTAGATGGCCATCTTTAGGGGTGATTTGAATGCAATATTCCTGCTTCTTGGCAGGGGGTTGGACTGGATGGCCTATGATGGTCTCTTCCAACTCTTTGATTCTATGATTCTATGAGAGATGGAGACATTTGGGTTGGGCGTTAGGAGGAACGAGCGATGGATGGATAGAGCGTTTGGCAGAGAGAGGGAGGGAGGGATTCGATTGGGTTGGGCGATAGGCGAAGAAAGGAATGGATGGAGCCATTTGGGTTGGGCATTAGGAGGAAGGAGGGATGGATGAATGGATAGAGCCGTTCGGCAGAGGGAGGGAGAGAGGGATGGATCCGTTCGGGTTGGGCGATAGACAAGGGAAGGGATGGATTTATTTTATTTGTCCTGTCAGGGCAGCCAGTCAATTATATTACATTTCTAACAGAACAAAACAAACAAACAGAGAAAATACAAAATGTGTGAGTTTGGTAGTTGATTAAATGTCCTTTGACCAGTATCTGGCCACTTGGAGTGCTTCTGGTGTTGCCGCAAGAAGGTCCTCCATTGTGCATGTGGCAGGGCTCAGGTTGCATTGCAGCAGGTGGTCAGTGGTTTGCTCCTCTCCACACTCGCATGTCGTGGATTCCACTTTGTAGCCCCATTTCTTAAGGTTGGCTCTGCATCTCGTGGTGCCAGAGCGCAGTCTGTTCAGCGCCTTCCAAGTCGCCCAGTTTTCTGTGTGCCCAGGAGGGAGTCTCTCATTTGGTATCAGCCGTTTATTGAGGTTCTGGGTTTGAGCCTGCGACTTTTGGACTCTCGCTTGCTGAAGTGTTCCAGCGAGTGTCTCTGTAGATCTTAGAAAACTATTTCTAGATTTAAGTCGTTGACGTGCTGGCTGATACCCAAACGGGATGAGCTGGAGATGTCTCTGCCTTGGTCCTTTCACTATTGGCTGCTACTTCCCGGCGGATGTCAGGTGGTGCAATACCGGCTAAGCAGTGTAATTTCTCCAGTGGTGTAGGGCGCAGACACCCCGTGATAATGCGGCATGTCTCATTAAGAGCCACATCCACTGTTTTAGCGTGGTTAGATGTGTTCCACACTGGGCATGCATACTCAGCAGTGGAGTAGCACAGCGCAAGGGCAGATGTCTTCATTGTATCTGGTTGTGAACCCCAAGTTGTGCCAGTCAGCTTTCGTATGATATTGTTTCTAGCACCCACTTTTTGCTTGATGTTCAGGCAATGCTTCTTGTAGGTAAGAGCACGGTCCAAAGTGACTTCCAGGTATTTGGGTGTGCTGCAATGCTCCAGTGGGATTCCTTCCCAGGTGATCTTCAGGGATGGATGGATGGAGCCATTTGGGTTGGGTGATAAGTGGAGGGGTGGAGGAAGGGGTGGAGGGATGCAGTTTGCTAGCAGAACTCAATTACTGTGTCACACATCTTAAAAGCATCTTACCAACAGGTAATATCAACATGTAATACAATTTTATTGATTAAATATAGGAAATAGGGAAGGGAATAAGAATTGATCCAGAGTCGCCGCTTTGAGACTCCTTGTGGAGAGAAAAAGAGGGGTATAATAATAAACACAATAATAATAATAATAATAATAATAATAATAATAATAATAATAATAATCCAGACTGACAAAGTTTTGGAACACAATACACCAGACATCACGACTGTGGAAAAGAAAAAAGTTTGGATTATTGATGTCTTCATACTGGGTGACAGTTGCATTGAGGAAAAACAACAGGAAATACTCAGCCGTTATCAGGATGTCAAACTCGAACTACAAAGGCTCTGGCGGCATCAACCAGTACAGGTGGTCCCAGTGGTCATCGGCACACTGGGTGCCATGCCAAAAGATCTCAGTTGGCATTTGGAAACAATACACATTAACAAAATCATGATCTGGCAACTGCAAAAGGCCTCCTGACTTGGATCTGCGCGCATCATCCGAAAATACATCGCACAGTCCTAGACGCTTGGGAAGTGTTCAACTTGTGATTTTGTGATACGAAATCCAACATATAGAAGATAACATAGCTATTTTGCATATCCTTCGAGTGGGGCCTAAACAAACAACAACAACGATAATAATACTTCTGGAATTATCACTTCTGGTAGATTAACCATGGATTGTCTGCATGTCGCAGTCAGTTCAGTAGGTTTTGTTCTTTAGTTGAGTTTGTTTGTTAGTCGGAATGGGGACTTTTTTGAAGAGTAACCAGCCCAATATACATATGCAAATACATGTCCTTCTCCCCCTTGTATGTTGCAGTGTATGTTGGGTTTGCAACCGTCGGCGCAGCAACCTGGTGGTTCCTTTATGATGCAGAAGGTCCTCAAGTCTCCTTCTATCAATTGGTAAGACATACATTGCCTTATTTGTGGGATAATAATAATAATAATAATAATAATAATAATAATATGTATTACCCTCCTCTTTGGAGAACTTGATGATGATGTTGATAAATGACAAATTAATTATTAAATGTAATTTAAAAAAAGATAAAACACAATTGAAAGACATACAACAAGATCCACAAGTTGAAATCCAAACTGAAACTCACAACTTAAAAGCCTTCCAGATGGAGTTAATGCTTCTGAGTTCAAGATGAGCGGTGTCGCCAGGCGGATTTAGACCGCATAGCAACTGAGGAGGGTGATGTTTGTGACTGGGTTTTACCTCCCTGCAGAGGAACTTCATGCGCTGCACGGGAGACAACCCCATCTTCGACGGCGTCGACTGCGAGATCTTCGAGTCCCGCTACCCAACCACCATGGCGCTCTCGGTGCTGGTGACCATTGAGATGTGCAATGCGCTCAACAGGTGCGGCTTCCTTGCCAGTGTTGTTGGATGGCCATCTGTCAGGAGGGCTTTGATGGTGCCCCCTTGCTTGGCTCTCCAAATTCTGGCATCTATTTATACCTATAGTCTATATATAAAGGCCAATGTATGTATGAAAGTTTTGAAACAAGGGCTGGGTGGCCATCTGTAAACAGGGCTTTGATTGTGCCCTCTTGCTTAGCAGAATGGGGTAGGACTGGATGGCCCTTGGCCTTTTCCAGCTTTAGGATCTATCTATCTATCTATCTATCTATCTATCTATCTATCTATCTATATCTATCTATCTATCTATCTATCTATCTATCTATGTTATCTGTCTATCTTATTTATTTATCTAATCTATGTTTTCTATCTCTATCTTATCTATTTTATTTATCTATCCATATGTCTCTCTAAAAGTCAAGATATGTATGTTTGCACTACAAAGGCTGCTACGAGGTGAAGTGGCCCTCTGGATGTCACTAGATGCCCTGTGACATTGGGGGGGGGGGGTCACTTCACCTGACAACAACCTTTTTTTGGTGCAAACAATCATTGTTTTGTTTTTAATAGAATCCTAGAGTTGGGCAGGACCCCCAAAGGCCATCCAGTCCAACCCCCTTCTGCCATTTTGCAGGAAAAGCACCATCAAAAGCCCCCTGACAGATGGCCACCTAGCCTGTTTAGTAATAATAATAGTAGTAGTATTAGTAGAAAACCCAGGAGCCATCCAGTCCAACCCAACTTCTGTGCAGGAAAGGTACCATCAAAAAACCCCTGACAGATGGCCACCCAGCCTGTTTAGTAATAATAGTAGTGGTAGTAGTAGTAGTAGTAGTAGTAGAAACCCCAGGGACCATCCAGCTCAACCCAACTTCCRTGCAGGAAAAGCACCATCAAACCCCCCTCCCCCGCAAACAGGTGGCCAACCAGCATCTGTTTAGTAATAGTAGTAGTAGTAGTAGAAACCCCAGGGGCCATCTAGTCCAACCCGACTTCCATGCAGGAAAAGCACCATCAAAAACCCTCTGACAGATGACAACCCAGCCAGTTTAGTAATAGTAGTAGTAGTAGTAGTAGTAGTAGCAGTAGTAGAAGCCCCAGGGGCCATCCAGTCCAACCCGACTTCCATGCAGGAAAAGCACCATCAAAAACCCTCTGACAGATGGCCACCCAGCCTGTTTAGTAGTAATAGTAATAGTAGTAGTAGTAGTAGTAGTAGTAGTAGAAACCCCAGGGGCCATCCAGTCCAACCCGACTTCCATGCAGGAAAAGCACCATCAAAAAAACCCCAACAGATGCCCCCCCCCAGCCAGTTTAGTAATAATAGTAGTAGTAGTAGTAGTTGTAGTACTAGAAACCCCAGAGGCCATCTAGYCCAACGCGACTTCCATGCAGGAAAAGCACCATCAAAAACCCTCTGACAGATGGCAACCCAGCCAGTTTAGTAATAGTAGTAGTAGTAGTAGTAGTAGTAGTAGTAGTAGTAGTAGWAGAAGAAGAAACCCCAGGGGCCATCCAATCCAACCCAACTTTCGTGCAGGAAAAGCACCATCAAAAAMCCCCTGACAGATGGCTACCCAGCCTGTTTAGTAATAATAATAATAGTAGTAATAGTAGTAATAGAAACCCCAGGGGCCATCTAGTCAAACCCGACTTCTGTGCAGGAAAAGCACCATCAAAAAACCTCTGACAGATGGCCACCCAATCTGTTTAGTAATAATAATATTAGTAGTAATAGTAATAGTAGTAGTAGAAACTCCAGGGGCCATCCAGTCCAACCCAACTTCCATGCAGGAAAAGCACCATCAACCCCCCCCCCCCCTCAACAGGTGGCCAACCAACATCTGTTTAAGAGGAGGAGGAATCCAACCTGGCCCACCAAGGAAGAGCACCACCAAAGTCCTCTTGACAGATGGCCATCCAGCCTCTGTTTAATAATGATAATGATAATAATAATAATGCAACTATAGTCTACTAGCGTTGGAAGCTCATTGTGGTTTCTCTCCTTCCTTCCTTCCTTCCTTCCTTCCTTCCTTCCTTCCTTCCTTCCTTCCTTCCTTCCACAGCGTCTCCGAAAACCAGTCCTTGCTGCGGATGCCTCCGTGGCTGAACCTGTGGCTGCTGGGGGCCATTGTGGTCTCCATGGCCTTGCACTTCTTGATCCTCTACGTCAAGCCCTTGCCAGTGAGTCCTGGGGAAGAGGAGGAGGAGGAGGTGGTGGCTTTGGGAACAGGCCAATGCAATTCGAGTGTTTCTGTAGCTGCCACAAACTCGATTAAATGGGTTGAGACTCAATGACAAGATCTTCATTGAAAAACCAGAGTAAAATGTGCCATAGCAGGATGCCCCTCCCTCTCCGGAAACAAACGTTCCCCATGCTATATGTAGTATACATTTCACCTGAATAAGAGACAAGCATCTCTAGCTCTGAGGATGACCTGGGAACGAAGAATCCCACTGGAGCATTGCAGCATACCCAAATACCCAGGAGTCACTCTGGACCGTTTAATCTATGCTGACGATCGTGCCATCACCACTCAAGCAGGGAGCTTTGAAATGCTTGAACAGAAGCTCTCCGAAGCTCTAGGTGCCCTTACTGCCTATGACAGGGAAAACAGCTGATTCTTCATCCATCTAAGTTTCATCTATGCTGGTGATCATGCCATCACCGCTCAAGCAGGGAGCATTAAGATGGTTGAACAGAAGCTCTCCAAAGCTCTAGGTGCCCTTACTGCCTATGACAGGGAAAACCAGCTGATTCTTCATCCATCTAAGTTTAGTCTATGCTGATGGTTGAACATAAACTCTTCAAACCTTTAGGTGCTCTTACTGCCTATGACAGGGAAAACCAGCTTATTCCTCATCTATCTAAGTTTCATCTATGCTGACGATCATGCCATCACCGCTCAAGCAGGGAGCTTTGAAATGCTTGAACAGAAGCTCTCTGAAGCTTTAGGTGCTCTTACTGCCTATGACAGGGAAAACCAGCTGATTCCTCATCCATCTAAGTTTAATCTATGCTGACGATCATGCCATCACCGCTCAAGCAGGGAGATTTGAAATGGTTAAACAGAAGCTCCCCAAAGCTTTAGGTGCTCTTACTGCCTATGACAAGGAAAACCAGCTGATTCCTCATCCATCTAAGTTTAGTCTATGCTGACGATCGTGCCATCACCACTCAAGCAGGGAGATTTGAAATGGTTGAACAGAAGCTCTCTGAAGCTTTAGGTCAGTGGTTCTCAACCTGGGGTCCCCAGATGCTTTTGGCCTTCAACTCCCAGAAATCCTAACAATTGACAAACTGGCAGGGATTTCTGGGAGTTGTAGGCCAAAAACATCTGGGGACCCCAGGACCCCACTGCTTTAGGTGCTCTTACTGCCTATGACAGGGAAAACAAGCTGATTCCTCATCCATCTAAGTTTAGTCTATGCTGATGATTGTGCCATCACCACTCAAGCAAGGAACTTTGAGATAGTTGAACATAATCTCTCTGAAGCTTTAGGTGCTCTTACTGCCTATGACAGTGAAAACCAGCTGATTCCTCATCCAGCTAAAATTTAGGTGTGTGCTTTTCACCTTCAGAACAGACAAGCATCTTGACCTCTGAGGATGAGCTGGGAAAGAATCCCATTGGAGCATTGCAGCACACCCATAATACCTGGGCGTCACTCTGGACTGTTCTCTGACTTCTAATAAGCACTGCTTGACTATCAGGCAAAAAGTGGGCGCTAGAAACAATATCATATGAAAGCTGACTGGCACAACCTGGGGATCACAACCAGATACCAGAGTTTCATCTATGCTGACGATTGTGCCATCACTGCTCAAGCAGGGAGTTTTGAAATGGTTGAACAGAAGCTCTCCGAAGCTTTAGGTGCTCTTACTAGCTATTACAGGGAAAACCAGCTGATTCCGAATCCATCTAAGTTTATCTATGCTGACGATCATGCCATCACCTCTCAAGCAGGGAGCTTTGAGATGGTTTAACAGAAGCTCTCCGAATCTCTAGGTGCCCTTACTACCTATTACAGGGAAAACCAGCTGACTCCAAATCCATTTAAAGCACACACATGTACTTTCCATCTTAAGCACCAACAAGTATCTTGCACTCTGAGGATGAGCTAGGAAGGAATCCCACTGGAGCATTGCAGCACACCCAAATACCCGGGAGTCACTCTGGGTCGTGCTCTGACTTCTAATAAGCACTTCTTGACTATCAAGCAAAAAGTGGTCGCTAGAAACAATATTAGACGAAAGCTGACTGGCACAACCTGGGGATCACAACCAGACACTGTGATGGCATCTGCCCTTGCACTTTGCTACTCTGCTGCTGAGTACGCATGCCCAGTGTGGAAGACATCTCATCACACTAAAACAGTGAATGTGGCTCTTAAAGAGACATGCTGCATTATCACTGGATGTCTACGCCCAACACTGGTAGAGAAATTACACTGTTTATTGCACCACTTTAGCATCAGGCCAAGTTTTTGACTTGGTTTGTGGTTTGTTATGCATTATAACTGTATTCCCAGTTCGCTTTTGACACAATAAATAAATGTATTTATATTATTATTATTATTTATTTATTGACAGTATTTATATTCCGCCCTTCTCAGCCTGCAGGGGACTCAGAGCGGATCACAATGCACATATACATGGCAAACATTCATTGCCATAGACAAACAACATATATAAACAGACACACAAAGACTATTTAACTTTCCAGCTTCATGAGGGTATGATCAAATTCCAGCCACCAGGGAAGCTGTCACTTCACAGTCCACTTGTGACACAAATGGAGCACTTCCTCATTCTTTTCCATGCTGCTGGAGAGTTTTATGGCATCATAAATTAGTTAAATTAGCCTTGACAGATGCTGCAAAGGTTGTTTGGGCTGCAAAGGTTGACAGCAAGCTAGACAAATGGTTGGGAGCTTACTCCGGCCCAGGCTGGCTTTGAATAATGGTTGTTATTGTTGTCTTCCCGCTTGCAGCTGATCTTCCAGGTGACGCCGCTCAGCTGGCCGCAATGGCTGGTGGTGCTGAAGATCTCCTTGCCAGTCATCCTGCTGGACGAAGCCCTCAAGCTCCTCTCCCGGCACCCTCCCGACGGTAAGAAGCTTCACCCGGCTCCCTTGGCTAAGTGCTTGGGAGTCAGGACATGGGCAGCAGTCCCAAGAAAAAAACCCCGTATCATCAGTACTGACAGAAACATTACTTGTACTGAAATGCAAAAAGGGACTCTGGAATCAATATGATTGGACAGGAATAGTTAACAATTTGGAAACATGTCGCTTCCCTCCCTTTCTTGCCCAATGACATCACAAAAGCCACTTCGCCTGGCCATAGCCAATCCACTTTCTTCCTTTTCCCATTGTACAACTTCCCCGTTTTTTCTTTCTTTCCTTTCTCTTCCCTTCTTTTTCTTTCCTCCCTTCTTTCTTTCGTTCCTTTTCATTCTCTCTCTCTCTCGCATCCCTCCTTTTCCTTCCTTCCCTTTCCCTTCTTTTTTCTTTCCTCCCTTCTTTCTTTCATTCCCTTTCATTCTTTCTCTCTTGCTTCCCTCCTTTCCCTTCCTTCTCCTTCTCCTTCCCTTCTTTTTCTTTCCTCCCTTCTTTCTTTCATTCCCTTTCTTTCTTTCTCTCTCACTTCCCTCCTTTCCCTTCCTTCTCCTTCTCCTTCCCTTCTTTTTCTTTCCTCCCTTCTTTCTTTCATTCCCTTTCTCTCTCATTCCCTTTCTCTTCCTCTCGTCCCTCTTTTTCCTTCCTTCCTCTTCCCTTCTTTTTCTTTCCTCCCTTCTTCCTTTCATTCCCTTTCTCTCTCATTCCCTTTCTCTTCCTCTCGTCCCTCTTTTTCCTTCCTTCCTCTTCCCTTCTTTTTCTTTCCTCCCGTCTTCCTTTCATTCCCTTTCTCTCTCATTCCCTTTCTCTTCCTCTCGTCCCTCTTTTTCCTTCCTTCCTCTTCCCTTCTTTTTCTTTCCTCCCTTCTTTCTTTCATTCCCTTTCTCTCTCACTCTCTCGTCCCTCCTTTTCCTTCCTTCCTTTTCTTCTTTTTCTTTCCTCCCTTCTTTCTTTCATTCCCCCCTCTCTCACACCTCCTTTTCCTTCTTCCCCTTTCCTTCTTTTTCTTTCCTCCCTTCTTTCTTTTATTCTCTCTCTCTCCTCCCTCCTTTTCCTTCCTTCCCCTTCCCTTCTTTTTCTTTCGTCCCTTCTTTCTTTCATTCTCTCTCTCTTCCTCTTTTTCCTTCCCTTCTTTTTCTTTCCTCCCTTCTTTATTTCATTCCCTCTCTTTTCCCACTCTCTCTCACCTCCTTTTCCTTCCTTCCCCTTTACTTCTTTTTCTTTTCTTCCTTCCTTCTTTCCTTCCATTCATTCTCTCTCTCTCTCTCCTCCCTCCTTTTCCTTCCTTCCCCTTCCCTTCTTTCTTTCATTCCCCCCTCTCTCTTCCCTCCTTTTCATTCTTTTCCCTTCCCTTCTTTTTCTCTGACATACTTCCCTTCCCCTTGGCAGCAGCCAATCCACTTCACTCCCTTTCTTTCCGAGTCACATGACGGAGGGCCACTTCACCTACCCACAGCCAATCCACTTTGTTCCTTTTCCCTTTGTACAACTTCCCCCTTTTTCTTTCTTTCCTTCCCCTTCCCTTCTTTTTCTTTCCTCCTTTCTTTCGTTTCCCACCCCTCTCTTCCCTCCTTTTCCTTCCTTCCCCTTCCCTTCTTTTTCTCTGACTTCCTTCCTTCCCCTTCCCTTCTTTTTCTCTGACTTCCTTCCTTCCCCTTCCCTTCTTTTTCTCTGACTTTCCTTCCCTTCCCCTTGGCAGCAGCCAATCCACTTCACTCCCTTTCTTTCTGAGTCACATGACGGAGGGCCACTTCACCTGCCCACAACCAATCTACCTTCTCTTTCCTTCTGCTCTGGATGGATTTTTCAAAATTCGAACCCCTAAATTATTTTAACTGGGAGAATGGAAGGTTTGCCTGCCACGTTTGGTCCAGATCCATCCAGCCACGGATGCGCACTACCAATGCGCAACCCATGCACATGATGCACACCCTCCTTCATCTACTTTGTATGTGTGCATAAGAGATAACACCCCCCCCCCCCCCCAGCTTGCAAATACTCAGTTCTCTTATGTTTCCGGCGTTTGAAGGCGTGGTGACCTTCCTCAGGCAGGCCAACAAAGGATGCTGCCTGCCTGTCATTTCCCTGCCGGTGGAACCTGCTCCATAAAAGGCCCGGGCGCAGTCACACTGGGCACCCAACGCGGCCCCAAAAGAAAGGCCTTGTAGGGCAATCCATCTTTTGCTGCCGCCGCTGCTGCTGTTACCTTGGAATCAGATCTCTGTGCGAGAAACATGTTTTGCTTATTATTTGGCTCCAGGGCCCATTGGAATTGCCAACAAAACAACACTCGGTTCGTTTCCCGCTTGCCCAGAAATGCCTTTTCCTGTGCAAAACAAAGGCGGGCGAGAAAATAGGAGATTCAGAGCAGAACAATCAAAAGAGTAGTGTATCCATGGCTTCAGTCTACACACGCAGGGAGAGAATTGGAAAGATTTGCTCTCTCTGGCTTCCTCTCTTTCTTTCCATATTCCTTCGCTTTCCCTCATACACCTTCCCCCTCTACTTCCTTCCTTCCTTCCTTCATTCTTTCTTTCCCTCCCTTCCTCTCCCTCCCTTTCTCTCTTCCTTTTCTTTTTTCTCTTTCTTTCCTTCTTTCCTACCTTCCCTTTTTCTTTTCCTTACCCCCTTCCCCTTTCCCTTCTTTCCCTTCTTTTCCCTTCTTTCTTTTTTTCCCTTCACTCCTTCCCTTTCCCCCATACACTTCACCTTTCTTTCCCAATGGCATCGTTCCATTTCCCTTTCTCCTTCCTTCCTTCCTCCCTCTTTCTCTCCTTCTATTTCTTTCCCCTTCTTTCTTTCCCCTTCCCTCCCTCCCTTCCCCTCTCATCTTCCCTTTCTCCTTTCCTTTCTTCCTTCTTTCCTTCCTCTTTCTCCCTTTCCTTTTCTTTCCCTTCTTTTTCCTTCTTTCTTTCTCCCTTCCTCCCTCCTTCCCCTTCCTTCCCTTTTCCTTCCTTCTTCCTCCTTCCTTCCTTCCTTCCTTCCTCTCTTCCTCCCTCCCTCCCTCCCTCCCTCCTCCTTCCTTCCTCTCTTTCTCTCCTTCCTTCTTTCCCTTCTTTTCCCTTCTTTTCCCTTCTTTCTTTTCCCTTCTCTCCCTCCCTTCCCCCATACACGTCATCATTCCCTTTCTCCTTCCTTCCTTCCTTCCTTCCTTCCTTCCTTCCTTCCTTCCTTCCTTCCTTCCTTCCGTCCTCTTTCTCTCCTTCAATTTCTTTCCCTTCTTTTCCCTTCTTTTTCCCCTTCTTTCCTGCCTTCCTTCCTTCCCCTCTTTTTCTCCTGTTTCTTTCCCCTTCCCTCCCTCCGTCCCTTCCCCCATACACATCATCATACCATTTCTCCTTCTTTCCTTTTCTCCTTCCTTCTTTTCTTCTTCCTTCCTTCCTTCCTTCCTTCCTTTTTTTCTCTCTTTCGGTCCTTTTGTTTATTTTCCTTCTTTTCCCTTCCCTCCCTCCCTTCCCCCATACATGTCATCATTCCCTTTCTCCTTCCTTTCTTTCTTGCTTCCTTCTTCTCTTTCTCTCCTTCTGTTTCTTTCCCTTCTTTTCCCTTCTTTCTTTCCCCTTCTTTCCTTCCTTCCTTCATTCCCTTCTTTTTCTTCTTCTGTTTTTTCCCCTTCTTTCTTTTCCCTCCCCTCCCTCCCTTCCCCATACCATCATCATTCCCTTCCTTCCTTCCTTCCTTCCTTCCTTCCTTCTTCTTCCTTCTTCCTCTCTTTCTTCCTTCTTTTCTTTTCCCTTCTTTTCCTTCCCCCCTCCCTCCCTCCCCATACATGTCATCATTCCCTTTCTCCTTCCTTCCTTTCTTGCTTCCTTCTTCTCTTTCTCTCCTTCCATTTCTTTCCCTTCTTTTCCCTTCTTTCTTTCACCTTCCCTCCTTCCCTTCCCCCATACACATCATCATTCCCTTTCTCCTTCCTTCCTTCCTTCCTTCCTTCTTTCCTCCCTCCCTCTCTTTTTTCTTTCCGTTTCTTTCCCTTCTTTTCCCTTCTTTCTTTCCCGTTCCTCCCTCCCTTCCATCTTGTACACGTCATATTTCTTTCCCAATGACATCCTTCCTTCCTCTCTTTTTTCTCCTTTCCTTCCTTTTCCTTCTTTTCTTCTCCCTTTCTTCCCTAGTGACATGACAGAGGGCCACTTCACCTAGCACATGCCTCCCTGCGTAACACCCTTAGGCTTTTCTAGACATGGACTTCCTTCCTTTTTTCTTAGAGTCTCCTTGTGGAGAGGGAAATGGGGTCCAAATAAGAATCGGAATCCCTTCCCTTCCTTCCCTTTCCTTTCCCAGGCAAAGACATCAAGTAGCGGAAGGCGCCTCGATGGCCGCCGCTTCCACGCGAAAGGACCGGGACCCCGCCGCTCTTCTCTGGGACCGGAGGACACGCATGTTTGGAAGCGCCACCAAAAACCCACCGGCGGAGATGCATGTTTTCCGAAGCCTCGGACTTAAATGCGGGCACATCGTCAGCGGACGTGAAAAACCGATCTTTCGTTTCGTTGTTTCTTTCCTCGTTTCTTTGGATATTTTTTCGCTTTCCGGATTTATTTTTGAAGTTTTCCTGTTAGGCAAGCTTTTTGTTTTCTGTACATATGGGTGCAAACACTGGACAGTAAATTATGGGGTTTTTTGTGGGGGGTGGGCTGGGCCAGGAGTCCTTTCTCTCTCCCCAGATTGTTCCTTTTCTCTCATTTCCCTCCCGTTGCTTAGCTCCACTTTTAACAGATCATGTCCAAGGTTTCGGGAGAGAAGCAGGCCTGGGATTTTGGGGAGGACGCCTTCCTTCCGGGCCGGGTGTTTCTCCTGATCCATCGTGCCATAAATAATGCAGTTTGTGGTTTTCTCTCCTTCCTCATCATCCCTCCTCCCTTCCTTCCTTCCTTCCTCCTTCCTTCCTTCCTTCCTTCCTTCCTTCCTTCCTTCCTTCCTTCCTTCCTTCTTTCCTTCCTTCTTTCCTTCCTTCCTTCCTTCCTTCCTTCCTTCCTTCCTTCCTTCCTTCCTTTTCTTCTCTTGGTTTCCCTCATATTCTTCCCCCTTTTATTTCCCCCTTTCCTTTCTCTTCCTTCTATCCTTCCCTTCTTCATTCCTTCTTCCTTTCCTTCCCTGTTTCCTTCCTCCATATTCTTCCCCCTTTTATTTCCCCCTTTCCTTTCTCTTCCTTCTATCCTTCCCTTCTTCATTCCTTCCCTTCCTTCCCTTCCCTTCCTTCCTTCTTTCTTTTTCTCTTTTTGCTTTCTTTCTTCCTTTTCTTCTTCCCTTGGTTTCCCTCTTACACCTTTCCCCCCTTTTATTTCCCCATTCCTTTCCCTTCCTTCCTTCCTTCCTTCCTTCCTTCCTTCCTTCCTTCCTTCCTTCTTCCTTCCTTCCTTCCTTCTCTTCCTTTGGTTTCTCTCATATTCTTCCCCTTTTATTTCCCCCTTTCCTTTCTCTTCCTTCTGTCCTTCCCTTCTTTCTTCCTTCCTTCCTTCCTTCCTTCCTTCCTTCCTTCCTTCCTTTTCTTCCCTTGATTTCCCTCATATACTTTCCCCTTTTATTTCCCCCTTTCCTTTCTCTTCCTTCTGTCCTTCCCTTCTTCATACCTCCCTCCCTTCCTTCCTTCCTTCCTTCCTTCCTTCCTTCCTTTTCTTCCCTTGGTTCCCCTCATATACTTCCCCCTTTTATTTCCCCCTTTCCTTCTCTTTCCTTCTTCCTTCCCTTCTCTTCTTTCCCTTCCTTTCCTTCCTCCTTTCCCTCCCTCCTTCTCTCCCTTCTCCTTCCTTCTTCCTTTTTTCTTTCTTTCTTTCTTTTCCTTCTTCCTTTCCCTCTTACCTTCCCCCCTTTTATTTCCCCTTTTCCTTTCACTTCCTTCCTTCCTTCTTTCCTGCCTGCTTGCTGGCTCCCCTCCTTTTCCTTTCTCCCCTTTCTTCTCTCTTCCTTCCCCCTTCTTTTTCCCTCCCTCCCTCCCTCCCTTCCCTACACCTGTCACCTTTCTTTGCTAGCAACATTACAGAGGACCACTCAGGTAATGTCACAACGAGTCAAAAGGGGACACTTCACCAATAACAACAACAACAACAACAACAACTTTATTTTTGTATCCCACCAACCATCTCCCCTAGGGGACTCGGGGCGGCTTACAAAGGATAAGCCCAAAATTACAATTAAAACACACAAGTAAAACACTTTAACCAATTAAAACAAATACAACACAATTGAATGCAATATTTTATTTATTTATTTATTATTCAAACTTGTATACCGCCACTCCCCCAGGGCTCGGAGCGGCTTACAAGAAACAGACTCGAATCTAACACAATTTAAAACAACATATCAAAGATTGAAAAACAATATTGCTGAATAATAATAACCAAGCCACCCCAGTGACATCACAGAGGCCACTTCACCTAGCCAACCCCCATTGTGTTGCCAACGGACAGACAAAACATGCATACATTGACTTTTGCATGTACACACACACACACACACACACACACACTGCACTCCTCAAAACCAGCACTCTGTGGTCCTTCCTTCCTCCCTTTCTTTATTCCTTCCCCCTTCTTTTCTTTCCCCCCTCCTTCCTTCCTTCCTTGCCTCTCCCTGTCCCTCCTTTCTTCTCCTTCCTTCTTTTCTTCCTCCTTCTTCCTTCTCTTCCTTCCCTCCTTCTTTTCTTTCTTCCTTCCTCCTTCCTTCCTTCCTTCCTTCCTTCCTTCCTTCCTTCCTTCCTTCCTTCCTTCCTTCTTCCTCCCTTCTCCTTCCTTCCCTTCCTTTTTCCTTCCTTCCTGTCCCTCCTTCCTTCCTTCCTTCCTTCTTCCTTTCCTTTTTTCTATGTAAGATATAAATGCAATATTCCATTTCCCCTCCTTTCTTCCTCTTTCCTTTTCTTTTCCTCCTCCCTCCTTCCTTCTTCCTTCTCCCTTTTGTCCTTCCCTCCTTTTGTCCTCCTCCTTCTCCTCCCTTCCTTTTTCTTTCCTTGGTTTCCCTCACACACCTTCCCCTTTTATTTCCCCATTTCCTTTCTCTTCCTTCTGTCCTTCCTTCCTTCGTTCCTTCCTTCCTTCCCCTCCTTCCTTCCATCCTTTCTTTCTTTCTTTCTTTCTTTCTTTCTTTTCTTCCCTTGGTTTCCCTCTTACACCTTCCCCCCTTTTATTTCCCCCTTTTCCTTTCAACACCTCCCTCCCTCCCCTCCTTTTCCTTTCTCCCCTTTCTTCTCTCTCTCTCCCCCTTCTTTTTCTCTTTCTTCCTTACACCTGTCACCTTTCTTTGCTAGCAACATTACAGAGGACCACTCAGGTAATGTCACAATGAGTCAAAAGGGGCCACTTCACCAAGCCACCCCAGTGACATCACAGGAGGCCACTTCACCTAGCCAACCCCCATTGTGTTGCCAACGGACAGAAAAAACATGTATACATTGACTTTTGCACACACACACACACATTGCAGTCCTCAAAACCAGCGCTCTGTGGTCCTTCCTTCCTTCCTTCCTTCCTTCCTTCCTTCCTCCCCCCTTCCTCCCTCCCTCCTTTCTTTCCTCCCTCCTCCCTTACTTCCCTACTTCTTTTCTTCCCTCCTTCTTCCTTCCTTCCTTCCTTCCTTCCCTCCCTCCCTCCTTTCTTTCCTCCCTCCTCCCTTACTTCCCTACTTCTTTTCTTCCCTCCTTCTTCCTTCCTTCCTTCCTTCCTTCCCTCCCTCCCTCCTTTCTTTCCTCCCTCCTCCCTTACTTCCCTACTTCTTTTCTTCCCTCCTTCTTCCTTCCTTCCTTCCTTCCTCCTTCCCCTTCCCTTTCCCCTTCCCCTCCTTCCTTTCCCTTCCCCTTCCCCTTCCCCTTCCCTTCTCCCTTCCCCTTCCCTTCTTCCCCTTCCCCTTCCCTTCTTTCCCTTCCAAGGAGGATCCCTTGGTTGCCCCTTTGTCGTCGCGCCCCCCCCCCCCCCGGCCACAATGAATAAGCCATATATCGAGGTGTCCACACAATCAGGTTAATCCGTGATGGTTTCCCTCTTTCCAAGGTAAGGGGTTCTCTTGGCCTCCTGAGGGCTTCTTCTGAGATGACAATCCCCCCTTTGCCCACTCCCCTTTTATCACCAGCATTGTACTATAAACACACACACACACACGTCAGTCATGTCCATGCAACCGGGAGGGCCTGGGAATGTATAGGCGCCAGTTGTACAGGAAGGAAGCCAGGCCTCTCTCTGCATGAAGCGCCGCCGCTCTATTGAATGTATCCCGCTCACAGCTAGAAGGGCCCAACCGCTCCAGGTTTTAGTCCGAGCTTGAGAAGCGTTTGGGAAAATATCTCGGAAACGGGTGCCACCCACAAATCGGCCAAGACGAAACCAGGTTAACCTTTGAATCGATGGATTTAAAGTAAAAACAAGACGTATTTTGGAAGCCGTATTGTAATACAGGATATTACAAAGGAGGGGGGGGGGGTGTTACATAAAGCGGATTATCATTTCCATTCCTCCGCCAGCAATAACTCCAATGACAATGCTAGAGCGAGACTTTCTACGGCGAAATAAAACCAAATCGTGAGCCTTAGAGATATAAATAAAATGCAAGGCTTTAAAAAGGAAAGTCGTGTTCTGTTTATTCTACTGTTTGTTTGTTTACATTTGTATGTTGATGCCAACATCTTAATAATAATAATAATAATAATAATTAATATATTATATTAATATATATATAAATATCTATATTATTATTATTAATTATATATTATATTAATATATAAATATATATAAATAATATATATAAAATATATTAATAATAATAATAATAATAATTATTATTATTATTATTATTATTATTTGCCCTCCGTCATCCACCAAAGGGACTCGGGGCGACTCACAGAAACACTCCAAGTGCCACAGGATATAAGTATAAATAAGTATAAATATATATAAATAAAATTGTAAATTTCGTTTGTGGGATTAACATAACTCAAAAACCACTGGACAAATTGACACCAAATTTGGATACAAGGCACCTATCAGGCCACTAGTGACCATCACTCATAAAAACACTGAAAAACACAACAGAAGGGATTTACAAAGCTCAAAAAAGCAAAAAGGCACTGGCAAACAATGCACAAAACCACATATATACGCAAATACACATATATATACATATATACACAAATGTATCCACACAGAAAACACATATACACAAATGGCCGCAGCGATGCATGGCAGGGGATGGCTACTCTATATAAATAAAAATGTAATGTTAGCTTGTGGGATTAACATAACTCAAAAACCACTGGACGAATTGACACCAAATTTGGACACAAGACACAACCCAATGCATGTCCTTCACACAAAAAAAAAAACACTGAAAAACACAATGGAAGGGACTTTAAAAGCCTCCGAAAGCAAAAAGACGCTACAACGCATGCGCAAAAAATGACTCCCCCTTGCAAACAATGCACAAAACCACATATATACGCAAACACACATATATACATATATTCACAAATGTATACACACAGAAAACACATACACACAAACGGCCACAGCAATGCATGGCAGGGGATGGCTAGTCTAGATAAATAAAAATGTAATGTTCGTTTGTGGGATTGACATAACTCAAAAACCACTGGACGAATTGACACCAAATTTGGACACAAGACACATATCAGGCCAACAAGTGACCATCACTCATAAAAACACTGAAAAACACAGCGAAAGGACTTTAAAAGCCCCCAAAAGCAAAAAGATGCTACAGCGCATGCGCAAAAATGACTCCCCTTGGCAAACAAAACACACAATAGCATATCCACACTCTCTTCTCAACTACAGCTCCCAGCATTCCCTAGACCCTTTGGGAGAGGAGGAGGAGAGTTACAGTCCAAGGATTGCTGGGAGTTGCAGTCAGGATCCTCCTTCTCCTAAAGGGCCTGGTCAAGGGATGCTGGGAGCTGTAGTCCGGAAGAGAGTGTGGATATGCTATTGTGTGTTTTGTTTGCCAGGGGAAGTCATTTTGCGCATGCGCTGTAGCATCCTTTTGCTTTTTTGGCGTTTTAAGTCTATTCTGCTGTGTTTTTCAGTGTTTTTATGAGTGATGGTCACTTGTTGGCCTGATAGGTGTCTTGTGTCCAAATTTGGTGTCAATTCGCCCAGTGGCTTTTGAGTTATGTTAATCCCACAAACGAAGATTACATTTTTATTTATATAGATTATTATGTGGGTATATATATGTGTGTGTGAATACTTGTGTATGCATGTGTATATGTTTGTGTATTTCTGTGTTTATATGTGTATATGTATATGTGTGCATGTGCATATGTATATGAATGTATGTGTAGGAGCCCTCGGTGGCGCAGTGGGTTAAACCCCTGTGCCGGCAGGACTGAAGACCGACAGGTCGCAGGTTCGAATCCGGGGAGAGGCGGTGAGCTCCCTCTATCAGCTCCAGCTCCTCATGCGGGGACATGAGAGAAGCCTCCCACAAGGATGATAAAAACATCAAAATCATCCAGGCATCCCCTGGGCAACGTCCTTGCAGACGGCCAATTCTCTCACACCAGGAGTCACTCCTGACACAACAAAAAAAAAATGTATGTGTATATGTATATACTAGCCATCCCCTGCCACGCGTTGCTGTGGCCCACATGGGGGTTCTGTGTGGGAGGTTTGACCCAATTCTATCGTTGCTGGGATTCAGAATGCTCTGTGATTGTAGGTGAACTATAAATCCCAGCAACTACAACTCCCAAATGTCAAGATTCTATTTTCCCCAAACTCCACCAGTGTTCACATTTGGGCATATTGAGTATTCGTGTAGAGTTTGGTCCAGATCCATCATTGTTTGAGTCCACAGTGATCTCTGGATGTAGGTGAACTACAACTCCAAAACCAAAGGACACTGCTCACCAAACCCTTCCAGTATTTTCTGTTGGTCATGGGAGAACTGTGTGCCAAGTTTGGTTCAATTCCATCGTTGGTGGGGTTCAGAATGCTCTTTGATTGTAGGTGAACTATAAATCCCAGCAACTACAACTCCCAAATGACAAAATCAATTTTTTTGAGTGAAGGACATACATTGGGTTGTTAGGTGTCTTGTGTCCATATTTGGAGTCAAATTTGTCCAATGGTTTTTGAGTTCTGTTAATCCCACAAATGAACATTACGTTTTTATTTATATAGATGGTTTATTTTTTAGGTTTTTATGTCTGTTCTGCTGTTTGTGTGTTTGTGTGTGTTTAGATAGATAGATTGAGATAGCTAGGTAGGTAGGTAGGTAGATGGATCAGGAGGACTGCTGGGAGTTGCAGTCCAAGAATAGGTAGAGAAGGAAGAAAGAGAAGAAAGAGGAAGGGAAAGAAAAAGGGGGGAAGGAAGGGAAGAGGAAGAAGAGAAGGAAGGAAGGAGAGAAGGAAAGAAAAAAGGGAAGGAAGGAAGGAAAGAGGAAGAGAAGGAAGGAGAGAAAGAAAGAAGGAGAGAAAGGGAAGGAAGGAAAAAACACTGAAAAACACAGCGGAAGGGACTTAAAAAGCCAGAAAATAGAAATACATTACAGCGCATGTGCATAACCACATAAATACACATATACACAAATATATATACACACAAAATACATAACACTCCTGACCTCACAACCATGTTAAAAAACAAAGTATGGATCGTCAATGTTGCAATCCCAAGTGACAGCAGGATTGCAGAGAAACAACTGGAAAAGCTGACACGATATGAGGATTTAAAGATTGAACTGCAAAGACTCTGGCACAAACCAGTCAAGGTGGTCCCAGTGGTGATTGGCACACTGGGTGCAGTGCCTAAAGACCTTGGCCTGCACTTAAACACATCAGCGCTGACAAAATTACCATCTTGCCAGCTGCAGAAGGCCACCTTACTGGGATCTGCACACATTACTCGCCAATACATCACACAGTCCTAGACACTTGGGAAGTGTCCTATGTGTGATCCAACACAACACCCAGCAGAGTGTCTGCTGTGGACTCACCTTGTTGTGTTTCTAATAATAATAATAATAATAATAATAATAATAATAATAATAATAATACATCACACAGTCCTAGACGCTTGGGAAGTGTTTGACTTGTGATTTTGTGATACGAAATCCAGCATATATATCTCATATAGATCTCATTTGCTGTGACATACTGTGCTATTTTGTCAATAATAATAGTAATAATAATAATGAAAGTGTCGGATGTGTGATCTAATACAACACTCAGCAGAGTGATCTTGTCTGCTGTGGACTCATCTTGTGGTGTTTCTAATAATAATAATAATAATAATAATAATAATAATAATAATACAGCACACAGTCCTAGACACTTGGGAAGTGTTCGACTTGTGATTTTGTGATATGAAATCCAGCATATAGATCTCGTTTGCTGTGACATACTGTGCTTTTGTGTCAATAATAATAATAATAATGGAAGTATCCGATGTGTGATCCAATACAACACTCAGTAGAGTGTGTGGTGTTTCTAATAATAATAATAATAATAATAATAATAATAATAATAATAATAATAATACATCACACAGTTCCTAGACGCTTGGGAAGTGTTCGACTTGTGATTTTGTGATACGAAATCCAGCATATAGATCTCGTTTGCTGTGACATACTGTGCTTTTGTGTCAATAATAATAATAATAATAATAAATCACATGTGATCCAATTCAACAGCCAGCAGAGTGTCTGCTGTGGACTCATCTTATTGTGTTTCTAATAATAATAATAATAATAATAATAATAGTGTCCAACGTGTGATCCAATACAACAGCCAGCAGAGTGACCTTGTTTGCTGTGTACTAATCTTGTTGTGCTTATAATAATAATAATAATAATAATAATAATAATAATAAATGGCAAAGGGGAAGAAAACCCCGTGTTTTTTGCATTCCTCCTGTGGAATCCCCCATTCTCTTGCTTCCTCTGCTGTGGGCGGAGGCCAAGTTCACTTGGATTCGCCTTCGTCTTCCAGGATGCGGATGCCTCCCATTGTCTCTCTGTGTTAAGGGACGTCCTGGAAAGTCAATATGCTTTTCGACGGTCCTTGTTTGCTTTCCCTGGGAAGATCTTTACCTGGTTTATCTGGGGCACGGATTAGAGGGCGACCAGAATGCAAACAGGGATCGACCTGTAATCCCCACCTGTTGCTGTTCTCGCCTTTGACGTCTTCATCATATGCATGACATACTACTGAGCCACCCAGCTAAGACCTTTTCATTGGAGTAGATTGCCTTTGAGTTGGACTAGATGGCCTTCGGAGCTCCTTCCAAATGGTAAGAGTGAACTAGATGGCCTTTGGGTTGGGCTAGATGGCCTTTGGAGCCCCTTCCAAGTCATAAGAGTGGACTATATGAGCTTTTCATTGGACTAGATGTCCTTTAGAGTCCCTTCCAAGTCTGTTATTGTAAGAGTAGAGATGGCCTTTTCATTAGACTAGATGGCCACTGGGTTGGACTAGATGGCCTTTGGCGTCCCTTCCAAGTTGTAAAAGCGGACTACATGGCCTTTTAGTTGGACTAGATGGCCTTTGGAGTCCCTTCGAAGCCTGTTATTCTTAGAGAGGACTAGATAGCCTTTTAATTGGACTAAATGGCCTTTGGGTTGGACTAGATGGCCTTTGGAACCCCCTCCAAGTTGTAAGGGTGAACTAGATGGCCTTTTAGTTGGACTAGATGGATTTTGGGTTGGACTAGTTGGCCTTTGGAGCCCCTTCCAAGTCATAAGAGTGGACTATATGGGCTTTTCATTGGACTAGATGTCCTTTAGAGTCCCTTCCTAGTTTGTTATTGTAAGAGTAGACTAGATGGCCTTTGAAGCTCCTTCCAAATGGTAAGAGTGAACTAGATGGCCTTTGGGTTGGGCTAGATGGCCTTTGGAGCCCCTTCCAAGTCATAAGAGTGGACTATATGGGCTTTTCATTTGACTAGATATCCTTTAGAGTCCCTTCCAAGTCTGTTATTGTAAGAGTAGAGATGGCCTTTTCATTAGACTAGATGGCCACTGGGTTGGATTAGATGGCCTTTGAAGTCCCTTCCAAGTTGTAAGAGCGGGCTACATGGCCTTTTAGTTGGACTAGATGGCCTTTGGAGTCCCGTTGAAACCTGTTTTTCTTAGAGAGGACTAGATGGCCTTTTCATTGGACTAGATGGCCTTTGGGTTGGACTAGATGGCCTTTGGAGTCCCTTCAAAGCCTGTTATTCTTAGAGTGGACTAGATGGCCTTTGGATTGAACTAGATGGCCTTTGGAGCCCCTTCCAAGTTGTAAGGGTGAACTAGATGGCATTTTAGTTGGACTAGATGGTTTTTGGGTTGGACCAGATAGCCTTTGGAGCCCCTTCCAAGTTGTAAGGGTGGACTACATGGCCTTTTAGTTGGACTAGATGGCCTTTGGAGTCCCTTCAAAGCCTGTCATTCTTAGAGAAGACTAGATGGCCTTCACATTGGACTAGATGGCCTTTGGGGTGGACTAGATGGCCTTTGGAACCCCTTCAAGTTGTAAGAGCGGACTACATGGCTTTTTAGTTGGACTAGATGGCCTTTGGAGTCCTTTCAAAGCCTGTTATTCTAAAAGCGGACTAGATGGCCCTTTCATTGGACTAGATAGCCTTTGGGTTGGACTAGATGGCTTTTGGGTTGGACTAGATGGCCTTTGGAGCCCCTTCCAAGTTGTAAGAGCGGACTACTTGGCCTTTTAGTTGGCCTACATGGCCTCTGGAGTCCCTTTGCAGCTTGCTATTCTAAGAGTGGACTAGATGGCCTTTTCATTAGACTAGATGGCCATTGGATTGGACTAGATGTCCTTTGGAGTCCCTTCCAAGTTGTAAGAGCAGACTACATGACCTTTTAGTTGGACTAGATGGCCTTTAGAGTCCCTTCGAAGCCTGTTATTCTTAGAGTGGACTAGATGGCCTTTTTATTGGACTAGATGGCCTTTGGGTTGGACTAGATGGCCTTTGGAACCCCCTTCAAGTTGTAAGGGTGAACTAGATGGCCTTTTAGTTGGACTAGATGGCTTTTGGGTTGGACTAGATGGCCTTTGGAGCCCCTTCCAAGTTGTAAGAGTGGACTATATGGGCTTTTCATTGGACTAGATGTCCTTTAGAGTCCCTTCCTAGTCTGTTATTGTAAGTGTAGACTAGATGGCCTTTTCATTAAACTAGATGGCCATTGAGTTGGACTAGATGTCCTTTGGAGTCCCTTCCAAGCTGTAAGAGTGGACTACATGGCCTTTTAGTTGTACTAGATGGCCTTTGGCGTCCCTTCGAAGCCTGTTATTCTAAGAGCAGACTAGATGGCCTTTTCATTGGACTAGATAGCCTTTGGGTTGAACTAGATGGCTTCTGGGTTGGACTAGATGGCCTTTGAAGTTGTAAGAGCGGACTATATGGCCTTTTAGTTGGACCACATGGCCTATGGAGTGCCTTTGAAGCCTGTTATTCTAAGAGTGGACTAGATGGCCTTTTCATTGGATTAGATAGCCTTTGGGTTGGACTAGATGGCCTTTGGAGCCCCTTCCAAGTTGTTATAGTGGGCTACATGGACTTTTAGTTGGACTAGATGGCCTTTTCATTGGACTAGATGGCCTTTTCCTTGGACTAGATGGCCTGTGGAGCCTTTTCTGCATCTGTTATTGGATGGGACTAGATGGCCCTAAAAAGTTGGGCTACTTGCTCTTTGGGGCCACTTCCAAGCCTGTGATTCCAGGGATAGATGGCCTTTGGGGCCCCTTCCAAGCCTGTTTTTCCAACTTTGCTTGCGCAGCAACCGTTTGGTTCCTCTTTCTGGATTTGGAAAGCCAGACAAAGACCTGATCGAATCGATCAGCCTGGGGCTCGCTTTCCATCCCCTTTCCAACAAACAGCCTGCTTTGGAAATGCATTGGCCACGGTTGCAGCGTCGTCGGCACCTTGGGACCCAGAATGGGCTTTTCTTTTCTGAAGCCAAGAAAGAGGCCCCGATAAGCATCGGATCTGGCGAAAGAAAGCCAGCGTTGACAATCCTTATAAAGCCACATCTCTCTCGTGTCAGGAGGAAATGAATTGGAACGGATGGCTGCAAAACCAAGCCTTCTAAGGAAGGTGGAGTGGCCCGATGGTGCCAAAGAGTGACAACGGAGGAAGCCAAGAGCTGCTTCTTTCCCTTCGCGGAATAGAGTCACTTTGACCCAGAATTGGACACAGGGTTGTTCCAGCTGAATAGAATACAATGGAATAGAATAGGATGATGCATTTTCCCACCTAGACACCAGTCTCCCTATTGAATCGCATTGGCCTTTTTCGCTGCTGCATCACACTCTTGGTTCTTGTCCACATTGTTATTATTATATAGGACTAGATGGCCTTTGAAGTCCCTTACAACCCTATTATTATTATATTGGAGTAGATGGCCTTTGGGGTCCCTTCCGAGCCTATTATTACCATATTGGACTAGATGGCCTTTGGGGTCCCTTCCAAGCCTCTTATTATAAGAGTGGACTAGATGGCCTTTGGGGTCCCTTCCGAGCCTATTATTATCATAATGGGTTAGATGGCCTTTAGGTCCCTTCCAAGCTTCTTATTATCATATTGGACTAGATGGCCTTTGGGGTCCCTTCCAAGCCTATTATTATAAAAGTGGACTAGATGGCCTTTGGGGTCCCTTCTAAGCCTATCATATTGGACTAGCTGGCCTTTGGAGTCCCTTCCAAGCCTATTATTATCATATTGAACTAGATGGCCTTTGGGGTCCCTTCCAAGTCTCTTATTATCATATTGGACTAGATGGTTTTTGGGGTCCCTTCCGAGCCTATTATTATAAGTGGACTAGATGGCCTTTGGGGTTCCTTCCAAGCCAACTCTGGAGCTGATATGCTGCCATGGAAGGTCTTATCAATACAACGTGCAGACACAAAACATAGCTTTCTTCTTCCGCTTTTTGGAAGCCTGACCCCAAAGGGCCGTTAGAACGGTTTGTGGGAACCTATCTCTCTTCCGCAGAAAGGCTTCCTCCGCCAATGGCTTCCGGTCCGTTTCTAGCACAAAGCAAGCCCTCAAAGCAAGGAAGACTCGAAAACAGCCAGACTTCTGGAATCGAATAACTTATTGTCATTGTACATCGTGCAACGGAATTAAATTCCATCTCCAACATACATTGTGTATGAAGGACTACAAAAACAAAGCACCCCTCCTTCCACATTCTAATTGCACAACCCCTAATGCCCTAATGAAATTGGGTTGGACTAGATGGCCTTTGGGGTCCCTTCCAAGTCTATTATTCTAAGATTGGACTAGGTGGCCTATAGGGCCCCTTCCAAGCATGTTATTCGAAGGCCAGATGGCTTTTGGGTTGGACTAGATGCCTTTGGGGCCACTTCTATGTCCATTATTCTAAGAGTGGACTAGGTGGCATTTGGATTGGACTAGGTGGCCTTTGGGTTTATTAGATGGCCTTTGGGGCCCTTTCCAAGTTTGTTATTCCAAGACCACATGGCCTTTGGGTTGGACTAGATGGCCTTTGGGACCCTTCTATGTCTATTATTCTAAGAGTGGACTAGGAGGCCTTTGGGTTGGACTAGGTGGCCTTTGGAGCCCCTTCTATGTCTATTATTCTAAGAGAGGACTAGGTGGCCTTTGGGTTGGACTAGATGGCCTTTGGGGCCCCTTCTATGTCTATTATTCTAAGAGTGGACTAGGAGGCCTTTGGGTTGGACTAGATGGCCTTTGGGGCCCCTTCTATGTCTATTATTCTAAGAGTGGACTAGGAGGCCTTTGGGTTGGACTAGATGGCCTTTGGGGCCCCTTCTATGTCTATTATTCTAAGAGTGGACTAGGAGGCCTTTGGGTTGGACTAGATGGCCTTTGGGGCCCCTTCTATGTCTATTATTCTAAGAGTGGACTAGGAGGCCTTTGGGTTGGACTAGATGGCCTTTGGGGCCCCTTCTATGTCTATTATTCTAAGAGTGGACTAGGAGGCCTTTGGGTTGGACTAGATGGCCTTTGGGGCCCCTTCTATGTCTATTATTCTAAGAGTGGACTAGGAGGCCTTTGGGTTGGACTAGATGGCCTTTGGGGCCCCTTCTATGTCTATTATTCTAAGAGTGGACTAGGAGGCCTTTGGGTTGGACTAGATGGCCTTTGGGGCCCCTTCTATGTCTATTATTCTAAGAGTGGACTAGATGGCCTTTGGGTTGGACTAGATGGCCTTTGGGGTCCTTCTATGTCTATTATTCTAAGAGTGGACTAGATGGCCTTTGGGGCCCTTCTACGTCTATTATTCTAAGCATGGACTAGGTGGCCTTTGGGTTGGACTAGGTGGCCTTTGGAGCCCCTTCTATGTCTATTATTCTAAGAGAGGACTAGGTGGCCTTTGGGTTGGACTAGATGGCCTTTGGGGCCCCTTCTATGTCTCTTATTCTAAGAGTGGACTAGGAGGCCTTTGAGTTGGACTAGATGGCCTTTGGGGCCCCTTCTATGTCTATTATTCTAAGAGTGGACTAGGAGGCCTTTGGGTTGGACTAGATGGCCTTTGGGGCCCCTTCTATGTCTATTATTCTAAGAGTGGACTAGGAGGCCTTTGGGTTGGACTAGATGGCCTTTGGGGCCCCTTCTATGTCTCTTATTCTAAGAGTGGACTAGGAGGCCTTTGGGTTGGACTAGATGGCCTTTGGGGCCCCTTCTATGTCTATTATTCTAAGAGTGGACTAGGAGGCCTTTGGGTTGGACTAGATGGCCTTTGGGGCCCCTTCTATGTCTATTATTCTAAGAGTGGACTAGGAGGCCTTTGGGTTGGACTAGATGGCCTTTGGGGCCCCTTCTATGTCTATTATTCTAAGAGTGGACTAGGAGGCCTTTGGGTTGGACTAGATGGCCTTTGGGGCCCCTTCTATGTCTCTTATTCTAAGAGTGGACTAGGAGGCCTTTGGGTTGGACTAGATGGCCTTTGGGGCCCCTTCTATGTCTATTATTCTAAGAGTGGACTAGGAGGCCTTTGGGTTGGACTAGATGGCCTTTGGGGCCCCTTCTATGTCTATTATTCTAAGAGTGGACTAGGAGGCCTTTGGGTTGGACTAGATGGCCTTTGGGGCCCTTCTATGTCTATTATTCTAAGAGTGGACTAGGAGGCCTTTGAGTTGGACTAGATGGCCTTTGGGGCCCCTTCTATGTCTATTATTCTAAGAGAGGACTAGGAGGCCTTTGGGTTGGACTAGATGGCCTTTGGGGCCCCTTCTATGTCTATTATTCTAAGAGTGGACTAGGTGGCCTTTGGGTTGGACTAGATGGCCTTTGGGGCCCCTTCTATAACTATTATTCTAAGAGAGGACTAGGTGGCATTTGGGGCCCCTTCTATGTCTATTATTCTAAGAGTGACTAGATGGCCTTTGGGGCCGCTTCCAAGCTTGTTATTCCAAGGGTGGACTAGACAGATGGCCATTGCCTTGGACTACATGACAGCCTAAGAAAGACGGAGCCAAGTAGCCTTTGGGCAGAAGAGTTGGGAGAGACCCCCAAGGGCCATCAAGCCTGATCCCATTCTGCCACAGTCCAAGCCCTCCTGGCAGGCTCTGCTCCTTCCTCCTTGCCTTTGCTTGACAGCTTTGTCCCAGAAGGATCTTTGCGCGTGTTTGCTCCTGTTGGGTTTGCGCCTGACTTTGTGTTCCTTTTTCTCCCCTTCTCTCCGCAAAAAGGCCGATGGCCCTGCGTTCCCACCCACAAGCCATCTAAGGCAATGCCCACGCTGCTGCACCCAGAGGGAGAGAGGAAGAGAAGGGAAAGGCAGAAGGGAACACAACCTCAAGGAGGAGAAGAAGGAGAAGGAGGAGAAGAAGGCGCCTGCTCCCTTCCCGCCATGGGGCACAAGTTCATGGAGACGGTGGCCTCCTTCCTCTTTGAGTATGACACCCCCAGGATGGTCCTCGTGCGCAACAAGAAGGTCGGGGTCACTTTCCGGCTCATCCAGGTGGTGGTCCTGGCCTACATCATCGGGTAGGTACGCACACACACACCACACATTCACACACACCTTTCCAAACACAGCATCCTTTCACCCCCAGACCTCAAGCACAGGACAGACTTCCCCAGGTGGGTTCGTGGCCACTTTAGGGATCCTCCGTCACATCTCCAATGTGAATTCATTTGTTCATTTCAATTTAATTTAATTAATTCGCACATTGTTTTGTGTTTTGTTGGTTTGGTTTTAATTTGCTTTTGTGGAAACCTTGGATCTCTCTCAGCCTGGCCGGGCGTTTCTCAGTAAACGTCGCATCACTCTCCAATCTCTCGACACCTCGCCTTTCATTGTCATTCGGCTTAATGGGTCCCGTAGATGAAAACTATCTTTCTATCTCAGTTCTTGTGGGTTTTTTCGGGCTATATGGCCATGTTCTAGAGGCATTTCTCCTGACGTTTCGCCTGCATCTATGGCAAGCTTCCTCAGAGCTGAGGTCTGTTCACTCACAGAAAACCTCACCTCTGAGGATGCTTGCCATAGATGCAGGCGAAACGTCAGGAGAAATGCCTCTAGAACATGGCCATATAGCCCGAAAAAACCCACAAGACATGAGTGATTCCAGCCATGAAAGCCTTCGACAATATCTTTCTATCTGTTATTGAGCCTATCTCTCTATCAATCGTATCTATCTATTATCTATTCATCCATCCATCCATCCATCCATCCATCCATCCATCCTGTCTGTCTGTCTGTCAATCAATCAATCAATCATCTATCCTACCTGTCCATCCATCCATCCATCCATCCATCTATCTAAAACATCTATCTATCTATCTATCTATCTATCTATCTATCTATCT